GTCAGCAATTCATACAACGCGGAGCAGCAAGAAACACACTCAGCAGACAATTCTTTGCCCTAATGACAATTAATATTTTTAATTTCATTTCACCTGCTTGCCATCCTCCCTTGTCCCCAAGGACCATTCCTCCTTCCCTTCCTCGCTGTGAGCGCACCACAAAACGGCACCCAGGAGCCCAGCTGGGATGAGCTCAGACTGCACTTAGGAAGGGAGAAATGCACCTCGCATTACTTGTCCTACTCGACTGATTTTTGCCCCTATAACAAAACAAATTCCAGATTTCAGCCACGTATTTTCCCACCAATTTCTCCACCTACAACAGACGAGATGCATTCACTGAGCACATCTCCAAGTGTTTCATGCAACACCACTGATGGCTGGAGATCATCCTAGCATCCATAAGTCAGCAACAGCCTTGCAGGGGCTGTAAAACACTCACACTTTGTTCATTTCAGTTTGATGCAGTGCAAACAAGTATCCTTACAAAGACATGACTTTTGATGAATCACCGCTTGTTTAGATTATATACGATGAAAGCAAAGCATCTGCAGAACTCCAGATTAGAACAACTACCATTTGTCTCTTCTGTATCTCAGAAGACATCTAAGGAAGAAAAGGGAAGAGCCGTGGAGGCTTCAGGCAGTGAAGCTGGGAGCTTTGGGGGTTGTGCTGTGAGCAGGAGGCACACAGCACCTGCTGTGCTTTCCCCGAGCAGCTTCTACGTGATGCCAGCACTGGAAAAAGATGTGCTGAACTGCCCCAACCACAGAATCATATCACGACATTCGAGTGCCTGCTGTACCCCAGCACTGGGTTGGGATTGTCCAGAGCACCTGAGCAGTTTTATCCCTCCTGCCTTCTGCCCACAGTATGTTTTCCCCTTGCATCCCATCCCCTCCAAAGCCAGCACAAGATATAAATGGCACGATAAAAGGAAAACAGAGAACAAATACATTTTTCACTCCACCTCCAACTTCGCTCAATGCAGGCGGTGGTTTCCTTACACCTCTGCGACCTTGAGAACCACACATGGGAACAGTGCTTTAAGTAGCTCTAGAAATTACCCAAACCTATTACCCAAACACAAAGCTTCGTATTGCAGCTCTTGGTTCCCTCGAGTCGCTTCAGTTCTGCAATCATTCACAAGTGGCTGCTCCTGAGATAAACCTTTCCACGGAGACCGCATCTCCGCCATTCACGCTATTCGTGCTTCTAAAAGTTAAAGTCAGTGGAAAGTGCCTTTGATTCCCACTTTCTGCTCGTTCAATTAAAGAACCTGGCAGGCTGTTTGATTTCTTTCATCGGAAAAACGGTGTTAAGAGGTTTTCAAAATAACATTTCATGAGTTCTGAGGACACAGCGATGCACATCCCTGCTGGTTTCATGCCTATTTCAGGCTCATACTACCAGCTCCTCATCCAGCAATGGCAGCGGTTTGGAGGCCTCTGTGCTCCCAAAGGCAGACAGAGGGCTGGGGGGGTTCCCAGCTTCTCCAGCTCCACCTGCAAGTTGGGCAGTCCCAGTGCTGGTAGTGGGGCTGGGATGCTCCATCACAACAGCGTGAAACCGGGACAATGGGCTGTGAAAATAAACGCTCCGAGCGCTCTCCCAAATTACATGCTATCATAATAATGGAGGGGTTGGTGATATATCAAAAATAATCCAAAATGATTAGCAATTACCCTCGTGAATCATAACCGTCTTTGAATGCTGAAAAGCCATTTGAGCACTTCAGCTGTGAGGCTCCTCCATCGTAGCCAACGCTCCAAAAACCCGAAATAAACAGAGCCTGGAGAACATCCCGAGCATCCCTGGGTGTCCCTGTGCAGCCCCCGGGGCTCAGCCATGGGGTGGGCACAGAAGGAGCCCGGCCCCACATCTCCCCTCCTCCTCTACCACAGCAACACTCAGAAGGGCCCAAAAATGCACCACGTGTTGGTATCTAAACAACCCGAAGCTGTAATTAAGGAGGGTATGGAAAGCGTAAAGCAATGTTTATATTCCCAGAAATTAAAATGTCAGCGACGAGGCAGTGAAATAATTTAATCAAGTTGGGAGGCATCTATGAGAAATCACTTTTACATGATTTAATGAGAGAAGGCATCGGAAATGGTGATTTTAATCAGCCAAGTGGGGCTCGTGAGCAAGAACCGCCCGCTTAGGGAACGTAGCTCACTTCTCCCAGAGACTGTTCTGTCCCTGCTGACACTCAGCACAACATTTATTGTACATATTTACCACTTCCCCAACCCCTGGGTAACGCTGCTCATCAGAAGCTTGAAGCAGAAAACAAAGCCAAAGACAAACATCAACAAAACCTTGTAATTCAAACCTGTGATTTGTAAGAGAGTCAAATGCTGGAGAGTCTCAAAGCAGGCAGGCAGACCTGATGGTGCCATGGAGCCAAGCCCCAAACCCTGACTTGGCTCTGCTCTTTGAAAGGGGAGATAACAGCAGGACAAGGGGAAATGGTTTGAAGTTGAAGGAGGGAAGATTGAGGTTGGATGTCAGGGGGAAGTTCTTTGCTATGAGAGTGGTGAGGAGCTGGAACAGCTGCCCAGAGAGGCTGTGATGCCCCGTCCATCCCTGGAGGTGTTCAAGGCCAGGTTGGATGGGGCCCTGGGCAGCCTGGGCTGCTGTGAAATGTGCAGGTTGGTGGCCCTGCATGTGGCAGGGGGGTTGGAACTTCATCATCCTTGAGGTCCCTTCCAACCCAACCATTTTATGATTTTATAAGTCTATGATTCTCCTTCATCACGCTCACTTTGCCTCACTCTGCTTCAGACCCAAGGCAGCTCCTGCAATGGCAATGCAAACAGGAGCAGCACTAAGAGCATCGCAGGAAACATACTTTTGTTCTTCTCTCTGATCTGCTGGCTGCCCCTCTCTTGGCTTTGGCACCAGCAGATCTCTGAAAACGCAGCGCCCTGTGAACCGCAAGGGATGCTGTGGGTCTGAGCACAGCTCTGCAGCACTTTATGGGCACACACACAGAAAATAATTTACTTGGAAAACAAAGCAGGAGCATGGGCAGAAGGCACTGGATCTCCCCTTAAACTCCAGAAGCTGAAGAGATGATGAATACCAAAGCTTCTTCTATAAATATGCAGCCCTACAATGCACAGCAATGAGTGCTGCCATCGGCCACCGGACACCCAACCAGCCACCAACACTGCAAAGTGACTCAAACTCACCCATTCTCACAGCGCCAATGCAGTCTTTTGGGTTTTAAAATCCAATTTCATATTGTTTAAAAATGAATGATGTGGAATAAGGGTGATGGTTTCCCTGCAGGAGGTGATAGTAGGGCAGGGAGTGACTGCCTCCAAGGGAGCACTCAGGGCTGCCAAGAGGGCAGCTCTGCATTCAGCTCAGCACCTCCTGATCCTGAGATGGGGAAGGAAACCACCACTGGAAGGGGACACAGCAGACCACCTATAAGGTCTCCTCACCATTAAAGCCAACCATAATTCCAGCAAAGCAAGGAATGTGATCCAACCAAACACCACGCAGTGGGCACTGCAGTGGATTGCACAGACGCAATCTGAATTAATGGCAAAAAGAAGCAACTTTTCACATTTCTCATTCTCCCAGGCAAACTGAAAAGCAGTCAACATTTGTACACAGAACCAAAAATAGGAGCCCAGCTTCTGAACAACTGCGAGTTATTTCTGGCCCCTCCGTTCCACCGTTCTTTCCACACCAGCAGAAGGCATTTCAACCCTCTGCTGTGTGCCTGATATCACCAGACCGCCCCACAGGGCCTTCCTCCTCTACTCACAGTATTAAAGATTCTTTAAAACCCTTTCATCCCTCCACGTTTCATCGAGATAGAACTCACTGTGCTCAATTTTACCCAATATTCATCTCATCTCACAAAACTAGGTCACAACATTTGCAAGCTTACACGAGTTCGGCTTTATAAATCCAGAAAATACCTCCTGTTTTTCTTGTTCTGTGTATGTCTACATTGAAAAATAAAACATCTGTGGAGTATAGCAACACATGACTTCCTGTTCCAAATTCTGATGGGCTATTTACAAAATCCCTTTTCTCTGGGCAGTAGTATTTTGAAACCGTCCTGCTGAACAGCCCTGGAGCCCCCTGGGCAGCATCAGCCTGGCAGCCCCAACACCAGGCAGCTGAGCAAAGCAATGCACAGCAGTTTTCTTGAAAAGCAGCAAGGATTCTTAGCTGCTGCTACGGCCTCGTTGGTGCTGAAGGCTGATGTTGCTGAAATGCTGCAGCCCGACTTTCTGTGGGATTGCCACCCTTGTGAGCAAAGCTGTGCAGCACAGAAATGCTGGAAAAATGGTAAAGACATTCAGAATATCCCCACTAAGCATCTTTGTGATGAAGCCAGAGAGCAGAAAGTAAAGCAGGGCATGGCAGCAGCTCCAAGGCCCAGCCTGACCACAGCTCCAGTGCCCAGGTGGTGCTGTAGGACACCCAGCCATACCACCAAGCAATGCTGCAGGATACCCAACCGTACCAATGGGTGATGCCAGAAAACACCCAACTGTACCATGGGGTGATGCCACAGGACACCCAACCGTACCACTGAGCAATGCTGCAGGACACCCAACCGTACCATGGGGTGATGTCAGAGGATACTCAACCACACCACAGGCAATGCTGCAGGATCTAATGGTGTCGTGTTTTGTCCTCCAGGAAATCCTACCCGAGCACAAGCCAGTGACACTGAGAAAGGAAACAGGGATTTTGCCACCTCACACAGAGCATTGCTTTGGTAATAAATACATTTCCAAAAAAAAATCAGTCGAGTATTTTCACTTTGAATGTAATAAATACATTTCAAAAAAAAAAAAAAAAAAAAGAAAAATCACTGAATTATTTTCACTTTCAACGAAAATAAGACTTTGGCCGTCTGGAAATATTCACATTTGAATCATGCATGGCCTTCAGCAGGCAGCCTGAGCAGCAGCAAGCCCTGCAGGGTGCCATCTGCACGGCGGAGCATCTGCTCCACCACTCACCCGTGGTTTCCACGATGCCCTCCAGGATGACGACGATCTCGAACTGCTCCGTCTGCATGCTGCGCTGGGACAGGTCGTAGAAGGGGCTCTTGGCATCGATGACGTGGCAGATGGTGAGCGGCGAGACGAGGAAGAGCTGGTCGGCACCTGTGCTGAAGCCCACGTCCAGCTCCAGCTGGTCCAGCGGCAGGAACTCACCCTCGGGTGTCTGGCGGGACTGGGGGAGAGCAGAGGGACAGGGGTCAGGGTGGGAAGGAAGGCCCCAAGCCCCAAATCGTGGGCTCACACAGCACCCCCAGACCATAGCGAGGGCTCCCTCCTGCTTTACTCCTCACTCTTTATTCCTCCTCGCAGCGCTGTGAATAGGAAGGAACAGAACGTTACACCCCTTCCCAGTCATTATTTTTATTACAGTTTCCCATTAGTCTCTATTTGGGTTTAAGGAAAGCTTTATGAATATGTTTTTGCCATACGTAGAGCCCCAAAATAGCGTTCCAGCGCTGCCTGAAATGCATTTCCACCATTGCCCACAGCGTGCCCCATGGAGCCCCACGGCCGGGTGGGAGCTGCAGAGAGGCTGCAGGAAAAGGGAGAGAGCGGAACAGAAAGGGATTAAGCGCCTCGCTGGGATTTGGTTTCTATTTTTACAGTATTCACAGAACGTGGCTGGATCGCAAGATGTAACCCCAGCGAAACAATGATGTCTCCCAGTGCCCCGCAGTTCCAGCTGAGAATTGGGCTTTCATCCGTGCATGTGAGCGCTGCGACCCATCGCACCCACATTGCCCTGCCCAGCACCACAGCTTCAGCACAGAGCCAAGGAACACACACAGCACATCTGCACAAACATCTGCCCCGCGGCCAAAGGCTCCTTCCCTCCTGAGAAGCCTGCTGCTTTTCAGCCAGAAGGCAGAAGCTGGGCAAGGCAGCCAGCACGGCGCGCAGACAGGGAGAGGAATGGCACGGTCCCAGCAGGATGCCAGGGAGCTGCCCAAAATGTGGGTGCAGGGCAGGAACCCGAGGACAGGAGGTGGTGAAGGTTGAGGTGCTGACTGCAAAGAGACGATGCCATACTACAGGCATCCTAACCCAGAGAGAATCAGTAAAAATGGGTGTTAAGGAGAATGCGGTACTTTAAGGACACTGGAAAAGGAAATGTATCCAATTTGATGTGCTGACAGAGGAAGAAAATGATGGGGAAAAGGTTAAAAACAGGCAAATTGCTGTGCCCCTAATGCAGCTCCTCCAGGGCCCCAGGAAACCCATCCCAGGCACCATCACAGCTGCTCGGGGAGCGCCAGGCAGGATTGAGCTCAGGGCATAACCACCCCCATCACGCACCATTTTGCTGTTCTGCTCAATACACTTGTGGAGAAAAAAGACCTTGGGGGACTGTTCTGACCCAGCGTCACATGGGCACCAAAGCACAGCACTGCCAGCATTCCCCTCAGCTCTTCACAACCACAGAGATCCATTCTGCAAAAGGAGCTCCGCCACGAGCGAGGCTTTGCAGTGATTCTCTGCTAGCATTTCCATTACAGCTTGCTTGTTTCACCACACCGTCGTCTTAGCAGGGAGAAAAAAATAACAGCCAAGCAATTCTCAGGCTTTCCAACTGTCCATAGCATCTCCCAGCAGGACAACGTGGGAAGCAGCAGGGCAGCAGCAAGCAGGCACCGCTCTGCACTGCTCTCCACTGAGCGCACACTGCGGTGCCCATGGACAGGACTCCCAGAGGAGCACTTTCACAGCACAGCTCCTGTCCCCAGGCAACGAGCATCACTTTGTCTGAAAAGCCACTGTGGCACCTTTCACTTTCAGAAGAAAAACGAACAAACAAAGAAACAAAAAACAGCAGCAAAGCCTTCTGCTCTCGGGTCCTTCCAGCATTATCACAGAGCAGGACTTGTGTGGAGGCAGCTCCAAAGTTGTGCAGATTGCATGGAGCCACACCAAGCGGTAAGCACCAACTTACAAAATTCCTTTGGAATTGTTCCATTCGGACATAAACAGAGCTGTTTTGTTGGGTTTTTTTTTACATCTCTGACAGAAAGGACCCTCTCAGCCTCTCCAAAGCCATATGGACACAGCTTATTCCATGTGCAGGGCATGGTGGTCACTGCAGTGCGCTCTAAGAACCGGGGCTGCTCCCGGGGCTCAGGGCACACTGTGCCACCATCCAACTTCTGACATGAGCCAATGACTGGGGCTCACTCACATCAGCACAAGAGAGCCCCAGCCTCAGCCAACTGCTCAGAAAGAAAGGACCAAGACTGGATGTATCCGCTCAGAGCATCCCCAGCACCAACCCAGCCCCATTATTTGGGATGCAGTGGGGGCCCTGCTTGGTGCAAGCAGCGGCAATGCTGTCCACGGAACCCCACCAGCAAAACCCACTGGGGTGAAAGCACTGCACCTTCTGATGCCTCCAAGCAAAAGGCAGCTGCATATCACTGGGGCCGGGTGCAGCAGATGGAATGAGAGCATCCCTCACAGGCAGAGGGGGCTGCCTCAGAGCGGGGCCCCCAGAACACCAAGCACCACGTCCCCCACAGCTGGGAAATGTGCAGGATGCTCTGTGTGTGCCAAACATCACCTGAGCCATCCATCCCCTTCCACCCACTGCACATTTATTTCAGCTCATCTATATATAAAACCATAATAATGAGTCTCAAATAGATATTCAATTTTCCTTGGTAATGCCTCATGCTTATTTTTCCTTAGATGTGCAGGGCTATTAGCATGGCTTTTGCACATCTAACCCTGACATTCAGCTGTCTGCGAAGTTCATGCACCACAGAAATGAAGTTCTCTCTAGCTGGAGCCTCCAAGAGCACAGAAATGTGTCAGAAAGGCAAACAGGTCCTTTTGAAAATACACACCAAGCAATTCCAGCTAAGAAGCCGTTACCTCTCAGAGAAAGAATCTAGTACCCATAGGTATTTACATGCTAAACAGTGTGGAATGTAAACATTATCATACGGGGATGATGCCTCAGGAAGAAATCCTTCACCCAGAGGTGGTGAGGCCGTGGCAAGGCCCAGAGCTGTGGTGCCCCATCCCTGGAGGTACCCAAGGCCGTGGATGGGCACTGGGCAGCCTGAGCTGGGGGGCAGCCAGCCCACGGCAGTGCTGGGGCCGGGGCTGCGAGGTCCCTTCCAAGCCAACCATTCTGTGATCCTATGATGTCTGAGGTCCCTTCCAGCCCACCCCGTCCTGTGGCTCTACTCTATGGCAGTGCCTTACCTTGAGCAGCTTGCAGCGGATCTGCGCCGAGACCATATGGCTGTTGCGGAGGTTCCCCACGCGGAACATGAGGGTGAGCTTGCCGTCCCGCATGGAGATGGCCGCGTGCTCGCTGAACATCAGGGTCTCAGCCCTCTTCTTGGGCTGGGACATCTTGATGAACATGCAGCCGATGAGGAAGGCGTCCACGATGGAGCCCAGGATGGACTGGAAGAGGAAGAGGATGATGCCCTCGGGGCATTTGTCCGTGATGTAGCGGTAGCCGTAGCCGATGGTGGCCTCGGTCTCGATGAAGAAGAGGAAGGCGGAGGGGAAGTTGTAGACGTTGGCCACGCAGGGAGTGTAGCTGTCGTCGTGAGCCTTGTTCAGGTCGCCCCGCATGTAGGCGATCACCCACCACATGGAGGCCATGAAGAGCCAGGCCACGGTGTACGTGAGAACGAAGATGAAGAGGTTCCAGCGCCACTTGAGGTCCACCAGCGTGGTGAAAAGGTCGGATAGGTACCGGCTGGTCTCACCGCCCAGGTTCCCGTGCTGCACGTTGCACCGTCCGTTCTTATCCACGAAGCGCTGCCGCTTCCCCCGCGGGGCCGCCCGGGGCGGAGGCAGCCCCCCTCCGCTGGCCGAGGTGCTCACCACCTGGTACTCATCGCCCAGCTTCCTCCTCAGCGCCGACATGCTCCGCTCCGCGCGGCACCGCACCGCACCGCGCCCCGGCGCCGCCGCTCTGCGGGCGCGGAGGCACCGCTTTGCGCGGCCGCCACCCACGCGGAGCCGCCGGCAGAGGCGGTGCGGGGCGGCCCCGGGCAGTGCGGGTACCGCCTCTCCCAGCACCGCCCATCAGAGCATCCTCCCCGCCTCCTCCTCCGCAGTGCCCCGCGGAGCCCCGGGTTGCGCTCCGGGACGCCGAAAGGTGCAAAGCTAGCGGGAGGGATGGGGAGCTCGCAGCCGCTGTGCGCTCGAGCTGCCGGCAATAAGGCACGCTGAGCGATGCGGCCGGGAGAGCCCCGATGTGCGGTGGCCGCGCTGACCTTCTCTCCGTGCCCGAGCCCGGGGGCAGAGGCGGTACCCGAAGCGCACTGCGGGGGGGACGCGTCAGAAGGAACATCGCACCACCACACATCGCACGTTTTCAAACAGGGAGCAAAAATAGAACTTCCAGTCACATTTCCAATCACGTCTGGGTGCGGGGGACATTTCGGGGATTTCGTTAGAGCTTTACGACAGCTTACGCAAACTTCATTTCCCCTTCACTTCCCCTTCCCTTCCCCTTCCCAGCGTCTGACTGCTCGTTGGATAATTGCCTCCTAAACCCAGCCCTACCCTCCCCGGCACAAGGTGAGGCGGTCACCTCCCGTCCTATCGCTGGTTACATCATTAACCCCAACGCTGCGGCTGCAGGAGCCACGTCAGTGCAAAGGGACTTATTTTCTCTTAATTGCTGCATTTCAATTCCCCCAATTCTTCTTGCTCCTGGAGAGACTCGCAGACTGAGAACATCTGTCTCCTGTCGCATGCGATGAGGTAAGGAAACAATGTGAGTGGGAAAGAGAATGACAGATGCTCAGCAGTGTCCTTCAGCATGGGAGTGCTGCTGGAGACGAGCAGGCTGCCCTAGGATCCACGGCCCTGCTCGGTGCCGCCAGGAGCTCCACAGTGCCGCTGCAACTGTAGGAGAAGGTCAAGGCACCATGGAACTGCCTCGAGCTCTCATTCCCTCTGCACCACACGGTGCCATACCCAGCTTCCCAACCGAGCCCAGATCCCAGCAGTGATGCCGTTAGGAAAAGCCCAGAACCCTTTTCCCATCCAAACCACAAACGGATTATTTCTCAGCAATTAGGTGTGCTGCTGATACAAACAGTGATGCTGGCAGCAGAAGCAAACACTCATTGGGATGCAAAGCCACTCAGGAAACCCATGTGGGGGTTTCCAATTCAAATTCAAATCGAGTTCCTAAATGTTCTTAGGTTGCAGAACAGAAAATTCCACCGTGAATCATCAGATTGGTTCATAAGCAAATACAAGCTCAAATCAGGGGATAAAGGCAGCTAAGGAAGCGCAAAGCTGAGAGAGACATCCCAAAGTTCAAACCAGCTCTACGGCTTCCCTTCTTGAAAATCTCTCCCGACTATGTGCCCTAGCATTTACATTTCTGCCCCAACCTTTTGTCCCTTTGCTCTCCCATGGCTTAAAGTGTTGTGAATGGAAGTGAGGAGCTGTGCCAGCACGTCACAGATGTGGCACATCAGCCCTGAGCTGCGTGGAACCAGCAGGCAGCACGGCTCCATTTCTGATTCTGTCTGCATTTGTTGCTTGTTTGCTTTCAGGACCAGATGGATTTGAATAGTGATAGAACAAGGGGGAATGGTTTTAAACTGAGACAGGGGAGGTTTAGGTTGGATATTAGGAGGAAGTTTTTCACACACAGGGTGGTGAGGCACTGGCACAGGTTGCCCAAGGAGGCTGTGGATGCCCCATCCCTGCAGGCATTTAAGGCCAGGCTGGATGTGGCTCTGGGCAGCCTGGGCTGCTGGTTGGTGACCTGCACACAGCAGGGGTTGGAACTGGGTGAGCACTGTGGGCCTTTGCAACCCAGGCCATGCTGTGATTCTGTGAAATGCAGTTCAGTAATGCAAAGGGCACAGCACTGACCCATAGTGCACACAAGCTAAGCATGGTAGAGGCAGCCAATTACAGAAGTCCAGCGGTGTGCTCAGAGAACGAAATCAATCTTCATTTCAGATAAACAGTTACAGCAGAAATGCAGCAAACATCCTTTTCTACAGACAATAAATGGTTGTTAGCTGAAGACAGGCATTCAAATGATCTTTACATTTCCCATCGGTGCTATTAGCAAACTCACATTTTCCAATAAAACGAGTGTAAATCACAGCCATAAATCACCGCAGCGGGGCTGGGGAGCATTGAACAGGGAGAGTGTGTGGGGGGGGGGGGGGGCAGCCCTACCTGGAGCCAGCACAGCACCCAGCTGTGGGCACAGCACCCATCCCATCCCACCACCAGGGCTGGGCCCAGCACCCAGTGTAGGTAGTGCAGCTCTGGGATCTGCTCCCAGTTCACCACCGGCCAGAGCAGTGTCCTCACCTGTGCCATAGAATCACAGTCATTAAGGCTGGAAAAGCCCTCCAGCCTGCAGCACAGCTGACACAGCACATGGGGTCATGAAAAGGTGAACTTTTGGTTTGATCTGTATGGATCTGTGTCCTCTACCTGCTCAGTATGCACCAGTGCTGCACCAGCAGCTCATTTTCTGTTTGCCAACCGCAGGCACTCAGCTCCTGCCACGTCCTCCCAGGGGCAGCACCAAGCCTGAAGTCTGCACAGTGCAGTGCTGACATTTCATGGAAGAAAAAGATTCACAGGAGCTACAAAACCAGAAAGAAGTGTCTGCTCTTCCAGCACTCCTGCTTCCCTTAGAAATGTATTTTCAAAGCTACAGTGCCAGAGAGCCGACCTGGGGTCATTTGTAGGCTTTTATGAGCTTCTTATTTGAAGTCTCAAGCCATGAATTCTTCCCTAAATAAACTCACACCTCACAAAAATGTGCACTTAGTGCTCCGGAACGTGGGCAGCTAAAAATACACCCAATTATCTCTGCTTGAAATGTCAGCACAGACAGGTCTGCAAACGAGTCCTTTCCCATCACATCTTAAATAACGGAGCAGAGACGAAAGTTGGATCTGCTCCTGGCACCTGGGAGAGCAGCGAGTGATGCTGGATGTGGCCGGGCTTCTTGGAAGAGCGGAAAGGAAGGAAGAAAAAAGGAATAAATAGAGAAAAGTGTGTCTTTGTGGAGGGCTTCCTGCTGGCTTTGGGTGCCAGGAGCTTTGCGACCCTCTCGACCCTGAGGAGCTCACTGTGCAACACTCTGCTGGGATGTAGGCAGCACTGCAAACACTGTGGGGAATAAAACAAAAGTTCATTTACCCCATCTCCAGGCAAAACGTAAGAATAAAGCTGGGTATGCTGAGGCAGAGCTTTTCCAGAGAGATGCTCAGAAGGACGCTATTGAAATGAGCTCACCTGCAAGACCAGGGGAGATGTGTTACTGAGGCAGGTGTTAGCATGGAGCACCAGGATGCAAAATGGAATCAGTGGCAATGGAAGCCATCCCCAGGGATGTCTGCATGCAGAATTCATAAACCACTGCTCTCTCATTCGCTCACAGCAAAGCGAAACACCTGCAGCATTTACATCGATATCCAAGCTGTCTTTGCTGGGCTGATCCAAGAAATGGCCCCAAGCTGTTGTGGAGGGGCAGGAATGAGGGATGCCCGAGCAGACCAGGTGAGGGGATGAGTCTGATGTGAAATATTGGCACAGGGCAGAATTTCTGCCTGATGTGCTGGCAAAAATAGAAGGGGGCAACTGGAAATGGGCAAGGAGGAGACGGGTGAGGCCTTACCCTGCACGGTCTGTTGGTAAGGTTGCATATACTTCAGCTGCCTCCATGCATTTCCTTCCTGACTTTGTCATTAATGACCATCAGCACTGAAGGAAGGGCTCACATGGCAAGGCTTCTCTTTCCCTTGTAGTGCAAAATTGGGACAGACAATACGTGCTTTGTTCACTCATTCCTTACTCCTAACCTCAGGGCTTTCAAAACGTTGGTAGTTTTGGATGTATGGAACATAAATCCTTCCTTTCTTTCTGCCTTTGCACCTAGGAAATGCCAAAGAAAGCTTTGCTGTGCTTCAAAACCGTGTGATTTAAAATACATTTTCCTCACATCTCAGATGTATTTCAGAAACGCGCAGCTCCCACTGCAGTTCCTGGGATGTCAGAACCTCAATACATTTCCATCCCTCACTACTCAGTTTTGATTAAAAGCAAGCCCTGCTATTTCTAGTGCTTGCACGCAAGCCAGTTGATCTGAAGAAAATAAAATGTTCCAGAAGAGGGAATAATGAGCCCTCCAAGAGCACCTCCTTGCACCCCAAGGAAGGGGATTCTTACCAGCAGCCCAATTTATGCCCACCAAAACCACCCCTCATTGCCACCCGAGTATAGGAAATGTGCCCATGGAATCACAGAACCATTCAAGTTGGAGAAGACCTTTAGGATCCCCAACCCAACCCAACCCCACCAAGCCCCCTGGGAAACTGTGCCAGTGCCCAACTGCTCTTTAGAGAAGTTCTTCCTCATTCCCAGCCTAACCCTTAAGGCAAGCCTGGAGCAAACTGCAATAAAACCATGAAGATATGCTGAAAAACAGCAGCATTCATATATATATAAATGTATGTATATACATTCAGCTACACAGAATGTAGCTGTATCTATGGATTTAGTATATTAGAGACTATGAAGCATATTTGAGCTCTATGAAGGTCTGGCTTCATCTGCTTTGCAAATGCAGGAGCTCCTTACAGTATATTCTTCCAACCCAGTTCTCACAGCCTTCCCATACATTCTGCTGGAAGATAATTCCATTTGACAAATTTTAAAATGTTAAATACTACAAAGCATTGACCAACCTTAGGTTTCCTCCCTTCTCTCCCCATTCTTTCCTAACACGTCTGGCTGTTCAGGTACGTGCAGCCAGCACAAAGCACTGGCTGAAGCACTTCTCTACAAATGGGTTTTTTGGGTTCCTTGGAGACCTTCTGACCCACCACGTCCTTTTCAGCCTATTGCTTCCATTTGGCTCATTTTACTCAGTAAACTCTCCTTTAAGGAATTTTCCTTCAGCTTCTCATTGCAATGGAAAGTAACACCTGCATCCCCAGAATTGCCTGGTGAGGTCCCAGAGAGCTGCCCCCAGGGAATGTCAGCACAGACCAGCAGCAGGGCTGTTTCTTCTTCTTTTTTTAATTCCTGTGTGGTAAAAAGGTATTTCAGAATTAGAAAAGTGGTAAATAAAGCAAAAAAGTGTTCTCACATGCAGACCATACAAGAGGTTATCTTCACAGCTTTGGCTAGAGATCACTTATGCAGAGACGGATGAAATACGGGGTTGCAGCTTGGTGATTTCTGAGCATCCTGCTCTGGCACGTGAAGATCACAGGGCTGAGCTCCTATATAATGCAGAGCCAGATACTGATTTTCTCTCCATTTCCCTGACCAAAGGAGGTGCAGACAGAGGACGGGTGGGCCGAGCCATTGGGGTGAACAGTGAGCAGCCCCTGGCACGTGGCCCTGCCACCAACCCATCCTGCAGCGAGTGCAGCACCCAGACAGAGCCGTGCAGGAGAGGAGAACCCAGCTGCATTGCCGAGGGTTGAATTAAGGAGCACCAATTTAATCACTTGCAGGCGTGACTCCTTCCCTGTGGCAGATGTCACCTGGCAGACAACGAGGGTGTATCATAGAGCGAATGGAGTCGCCCCTCTCACATGGCTGGGGCTGTGCAGACTGAACCCATTGCTCACGTATCCCATTGAGCACAGCCTTATCAGTAGTGATGGTGGGTGACACCAGGCAGATCTGGGACGGCTCGTGCAGGCTTGGCATGTCCCCACATGCACAGCATTTAACTCATGGTGATTTGCTTAAGGGCTCGACCCCCAGGAATTTTTTATCTCCATGTAACTCCTAAATGTACCTCAAAAGAAGAGAGAAAAACACACACAGTTTGGTTTTTTTTTTTTTTTGCTTTTCCTTTTCCTAATGAAAAATGAGATGCTGGTTGTTTCCCTCGCTGTAATTATAGCCCCATTACCAATCCTAACTATTAACGCTTCTGCAAAATGCAAAAAGAAACATACCTCTGCCTGCACTCATTACTCACAAATAGATTATTTTATGATTCATCTAAATGATTCACATACTATAATTAACACGAGCTCTACAGTTAATTGCATCTCTGTGAAATAGTTTAATAATCAGAGTAGCGACTTGACGGGCGTTTTTTTAACGGCGTCTGTGCGATGGATGTTTTATATAAACTGCAGCTTATTAGAAGCAAACACACAAATACATTTTTCTCTGCAGACTGTCCGGGTCGCTTTAGGCTTAGAAAACACAGAAGCAGGTATGCTTTGAGAGAAAAGATTTGTCAGCTTTTTCTATTTGCACAAGTGTCCTCGTCAGTCTCTATGACGCCCTGTAGATGAAGGCCACATCACCTCTCCTGACTCTTAACACCATGACTTCATTTTCACAAGGTTAATACCAAAAAGATTTGATTTAGACGGGAATTGGAATTAGAGTAAAAGCTGACATAACCGTGCTAGCACTGGGGATTGGGTTTCTCTGGAGTCCCTTCCATGGAGCCAATGCCATAACCCTGCTCCTGCCTCCCCACCTGCCAAGGATTCTTTGGCACTGATGCTTACAATCCTTTATTTTTAAAGCAGACTCTCCTCCACCCTCAGCACAACCGACCACCTCACGATTCAAGATGTGACTGGAAGAAAGAAAATCCTCCAACTGCCAAAATAAGCCTAAAACACCGTTATTGGCACCATGCGTTCAGCATCACTGCTGTGTTAGCTGCACGCAGCTCTGCAACCATTGGCACTGCTGCAGCATCATCAGCAGCCACAGTTCTCATCCTTTGGCCCTCCTGTGCCCCACTCCAGAGAGAAATCAGATTTATAGGAAAGCTCTACCTTTCCCATTGGTATTTTTCCCCAAAGCACAGCTGCTTGACAGAGCATTTGAAGAATGCTTACCCCAGAAGGTGTCGTTTTGGGTTTTGCAACCCAAGGAGAAGCCAAAGGCAACGACAGCAACCACCCCACCTCCCACCTCTCTGCCAATTGCAAACCGTGCACATAAACAAGGGCCGGGCAAACAGATGGGTTGTGCTGCAAAGCCAATCTTTCAGCACACAGCACCACTTAAGCAGAAACAGACAGAAGCACCAGAAGAAAACTAAACCAGTATATTTTAATTCTACAAAAATGTATAAATATTTAAATTTAAATGTACAGCAAAGAGTACCAGGATGCCATTTAATAACTGTTACAACATTTAAAATGTGCAATTCTTTATCCACAGTCTACCTTTGTAAATTGAAGTCAATCCCTGCCCTCATCCAGGAGCGCTGCTAAGCAAGGCTGCAGGCTGCCATGCCTTGTGCCATCCCCCCACTTCACCAAAGCCCACCACAATCCCAATGCTCCCCCCAGGAACTGTGTGCCCCAAATGTTCCTCAGTGCCCACTTACCAAGCTGGCCTGAATGTGGAGAAGAGAAATAAACAGGGCTGGTAACTGTTGGAGCAGCGGTTCTTGATGAAAGTGACCAAGAGTTGCAGAAGCAGCGCTGACACAAAGCCATGGATGTTGCTGGTGCACCACCAGCCCAGCACAGCTCCTGCTGCTGGGACAGACTGGGGCTCACCAACTCCTTTTGTATCCCCAGGTTGTTCCACACGGGGAATGCAAGGACTTTTAGATAGCACAGAACCCAGGGAGCCTGGAGGCTCTGCCCAGCACCCACAGCAGAAACAACCAGAAGGCGCAGACACAAAGTCAGAACGCACAGCTTTGCAGCAAAGCACACAGCTTTTCTTCAAAACGCCCTTCAAAGAAATAAATCCTTCTAGTGACTGGGAAATATGCGTGCAGAGAAACTCATCTAGCTGGACAGATCACAACGCCTCACTGCTTCAGGCCCCACTTGTGCCTGGTTTCTCCTGCCTCCTTGGGCTCACAGCGTGCTGATGACCCCTTGCACGATGGCTGGCCCTCACTTCATCAGTGCAGTTCTTAACACAAGGACTACAAGCAATTCTCCGATGAAATAATTATTATATTTAGTATTTGTAGAGTTCTCTTTATTTTAAACACACTGTGCAAACAGAAGCCAGTCCTCCCAACACCCTTTGGAGGTATTTTGTCAATGGAGAGCCACACAGAACCACGCTTATCAGATGTGGTCTGTGACTCTGAGTGCTGCCCTTTGTGGGCACACAACCAAAGGAGAAATTTCGAATTATTTGCCCAGGAAACACAGAAATTTAGGAGATGGAGGAAAGACTGGGGTCCATGCACTCAGAAACTTACATTCATTTCCTACATCACAATTTGTTACCCTTGATGTTGTATCAGCATTTAAATTGCCCCTCACCACGACCACCTCATTCTACACGAGAGGTTTATGTGAAATTCGTCTGGAAGGACTCAGGGGTTTTGCACATTCTCACAAAGGAGGCAGATCCAGGATCTGACCCCTCATCAAGGAGGTAGGTCTGGGATTCGAGCCAACAGAAACACCCACTGTGTCTGAGGCTAAATTCAGTGCTTTTTTCCTAAGTCAGAACGTAATTTCTCAGCCTCAGTCACTCTGAGACTGCACCTCAAGCCTAGCCAACTGCAGACTGCTTGCACCTTCAAGCAACGATGCCAGAAGAACCTCCCAATGCAAACAGCCTCTAAGGGGTGCAGCAGCTGCCACCTCATGCACTGGGGATGCCCTGTCACACAGTGACATCGTCACACTGGAGGCAGCCATCAGTTGGCACCAGGAGTGCTCACTCCTAACGCTCACAGATGCTGTAGGACCTCCCATAACTTTTACTGCTGCAACAGCAAGCAAAAGCCAAGCATCTGGATGTATCATCCACCGGCCTGAGTGGCTCTGCATCCCGAACAGCCCTTGGAAAGGAGATAAAGAAATAATTTAAAAAAAGAAAATCTGCATGGAGATTGGTTTACGTTTGTTTGTGAGGTTTGTATGCTGTTCCTGTGAAGAAAGATTACAGCCAGCTTCTGTTTTGCTGGCTTTTAAGCCATACTGAATAATTCTGGGGGGATTTTAAAATGAGACTGGAAGTGCCTGACACTGTTCTAAGCAGGGCTGTCAGGATGGACACTTCTCAAATTGAACAGGCTTCTACATTTCATGTAATGATATGTATCTAGAAAATATAAATGGCTATGAATTTTTACTATCTACATATGAGAATACTGACCCATAATTATGTGAATCTCTGCTGTGATGGCCAATGGAAATGATACTGAATGGACAGGTCACCTTCCCATACCCAGCCACAGGCTGACACATTAGCTCCTGGGATGCCTCCGACACGACCACGTGTCATCAGTGCTTCTTTAATAACCATGCTAACAAAGCAAAATGATTAAGCCACAAAATTATTAAAAATATAAATAAGCATCTGCCATCTCTATTGGAGCTGGACCCGACCCATGGTTTTACCCACTGTGACAGGGGATCCCAGGAGGAACGCTCCTGACTGCGTTTCACATAGGATGCAGGGACACAGTGATGCTCAAAAGCAGCTGCAGGTTGGGTCCAGCCTGACACCTGGCCTCTGTTTCTCACAGAGGATCAATTCAGTGGAAGCAGCAAAAACCCTTTGTCTGCCAGGTGTGAGGTTGCAGGCCCTAGCCCTGACCCAGTCTTCCTACTGCAGATTTCAACGCGTGTCACTCCTTCTTAGGACTGTTCCAACGTCTCTTTTGTTGTTCCATTCAATTTCAGTTTATGAACACGCTCCGTCCTGCTGCTGTTTCAAACACACACACGTGGCTATGCCGCTGTCTCTTGACATCACAAACTCTGCACACCACCTCAGTGGCCCGTCGAGTGCAGGTCTTCCCCACTGCCAACATCCCATCGCCCTGCCAGGAAAGCCAGGTACCAACGCGTGGAGGCTGCAGAACCACTGGCCGTTGTTCCCAGCGCCGTCAGCTCCGTAAGGCATTTCGTGCCGTGCCACTGCTCTGCAGCACCATGTACCACACACACACCAACACACTGCACCCAACCTCTCCCACCAAACTTCACAAAGGTTTCTCTTGAAACAGTCACCGAGGACATTCGCGTTGCTAACGGCGCGGGTTTTGATATTTATAAGCTCCGATGCACATCTTTTGAGCAGTCACGGGTTTGAAGGGGGCACGTGGAGCCCTGCTGGAGAACAACACAGCACGGCTCCGTCGGTCGGCGGGCCTCCTGCGGGCGCGAGGCCTCCGACAGGGCTGTGGTTTCCAGCGGGGCCGGGGCCTCCTGTGGGTGAGAGGTTTCCAGCAGCCCCGAGGGCTGCGTGTCGGCAGGAGCCGCGGGGCCGGGCCGTCAGGCCCCCAGCGTCATGTTGCGCAGCAGCCACTGCTGGGACCGGCCGCCCGCACACTCCTTCATGCTAGGGACCAGCTTGTCCTCCTCCGACGGCCCGTCCAGGCACTGGTTGCTGTTGACATGCCTCAGGGTGAGCTTCTGCAAAAGAGAAGTGGAAGAGCTGAAGCAACAGGACAATCACGGCTGGAAATGCTCTGTGGTTGGTTTTAGCCCTACCCGAGGGCCGGCTCTGTGCCACCTCAACAGCGCTGCCTGCAGACCGAGGGGTCCTGCTGCTGAGCCAGGCACAGCAGATGGAACACAAACACAGCAGTGAGCACGTGTGAATATCACCACAAAGCAGCAGTGCTCTGCTTTAAGAAGGACCACCAAGATGACCAGAGGGCTGGAGCACCTCTCCTACAAAGAAAGGTTGAGGGAAGTGGGCTTGTTTAGCTTAGAGAAGAGAAGGCTGCAGGGAGACCTCATGGTGGCCTTCCAGTACTTGAAGGGAGCATATAAACAGGAGGGGGAACGGCTGTTTGTGAGGGTGGACAGTGATAGGACAAGGGGAACGGTGTTAAACTAGGACAGGGGAGGTTTAGGTTGAACATGAGGAGGAAGTTTTTCCCCCAGAGGATTGTGATGCACTGGCACAGGTTGCCCAAGGAGGCTGTGGATGCCCCATCCCTGCAGGCATTCAAGGCCAGGCTGGATGTGGCTCTGGGCAGCCTGGGCTGCTGGTTGGCGACCTGCACACAGCAGGGGTTGGAACTGGGTGAGCACTGTGCTCCTTTGCAACCCAGGCCATTCTGTGGTTCTATAACAATTTTATGATTAAGGAATTCAGACTGCAACAACCCAAACAGATATGTATTTCAGGTCACTTGATGTGAGTTCAGAAATAATTGCTAGTGGAAAACCTATGTTTCAGAAGCAAACTTCAATTTGTTATGTAATACATGAACAACATCATCGTACAGGTGATAATCTTTCTCTTTTCAATATATTTTTTCTTCTCTGTGTCCCTTTCATTATTTGACTATACTGCACTGTTACTGGGGAATGGGAGAGTCAGAAGGGGACAGAAGGAAGCTGAACACCTTTACCTGAAATCATCTGCTCAAAAGCACTGGCAGCACACATACATAAAGAGACTGAGGGAAGGTGAATGTATCACTGCGGACTGAGCTCTGTACAGCAGCTCCATGCAGGTTATAACCCTGCCCTAGCCAGAACAGCCAAGGGAACAGATTTCATTAACAACTGCAACACATTCTGCTTGGTTTTATATGCAGACAGATACCTGGGCTACTGCACCATATAATTTTACACTGCAGTCCATCCTGGATTGACACGTCACATACTAACACTTCATTTCTATTACAAATGTTATTTCACTGGCTCATTCTTAGAGCTTGGCTCCTTGGTTTAAAACAAACTATTACGCACTTCTCAATGAAAATCCTACAGATATTGAAAGAAATCACTGGGGGGCCATCTGACATGCATTCAGTGATGAATATAAGGAATTCTTCTCTAATTACTGGAGGAAAGAGTTAGCAGTGCGAACAGAAGCAGCTTGTTTACTAAACAGCACAGCTCCAAGCACCACTGATTCTTCACTCACATTGTTTCTTGAGCAATTAACCAGCTATCATCTTCTGCTATAACCAGAAATGCAAAGAAGTCTAAAAAAGCTGCCGTCGCCTTCATCAGCTGTTCCCTTCTTTTCAATGTATAATTTAGTGCTAGACTGACATATTATTGGGATTTTCAACCGTCTCATAGATTTTTTTTCTGTGTTCTGTCATTATTTATGCTATTACAAAAAAAGGCCTCATTTGCTTGGGAAACAATTAATTACTAGGCAATACAATACTCACACAAGGCAGCCTAAAATTTCTATTTCACTCAAAGCTGAGAACACATGGATGGGTGCAGAGCAAGCTGCACACACATTCAGATGCACAAGAACTATGTTGTTTCACACTTAGCAATGTATGCAAAATGATAGCTCTGAGGGGAAATCCCTCAGCTCATCAGAGCTCTGGGGGTCTGCACTAATGAGAGCAGTGCTCACCTCGACTTCAGGGTGGTGCACCTGGACATGGAGGGAACAGTTTGCTGCATGAAAATATAAGACATGAGAGCAACCCCTGCTTGTGCCACTGAACATATGTGGTCCCACTGTCTTCCACTACACATACACATCAGTGAAACTATCTGGGCAAGAAAGGCAGTGGTCAGCACAATATTTTTGATTCCTTCAGTGGTTAATGCTTCATAATTGTCTGCTGTAATTAACAACTAACAATAAACAGGCATACTATTATATATACCAAGAGATAGGAAAGGAATTCTCTTGAGGTAAACAAGCAGAGAAAAAAAAAGCATTTTCCTGCAAGGAACTTAAATCCATAGCTGTTACATTCACTTTCGATGCTGTGTCTGGATGAACTTGCATGAGATGCTTTATATTCAGATACTAACCTCCAACAGCTTGTTAAAGGAAATAATCAGTGGGGCTGTAAAAAATGTTTCTAAAGACTTCCAGCCTGGTGTAGTTCCTTAGCATCCAAGTTTGCAAGGGGCTACCATTGCAAGCCTCCACGGTGGGACCATGGGTGCCATCCTCTATCCTGCTGAGTGTCAGGCATGACTGGGTGATTATGTGTAGAAATGTGTGGGTCTGCATGACAAAAAAATGGTGAAAATAAACAAAACCAGCAAACAGGAGGAGAAGCAAAGGAGAAAGCCACAGCCTTTGACTAGACACCCACAGCAGCAAGGCAGGTCAATCTAACAGCAGTGCTGATAGAGGGGAGGGGGGGGACTGACTGTGATACCCTGGAGTCAGATGGCACTGTGACCACTCACAGGGCCAGCTCACATGCACAGAGCACACATACAGGCATGCCCATGGACTGAGGTCCGGTCCTCACTGTGGCCTTCCAATGATTGAAGGGAGCCTATAAACAGGAGGGGGTGCGACTGTTTACAAGGGTGGATAGTGATAGGACAAGGGGGAATGGTTTTAAACTGAGACGGGAGGTTTAGGTTGGATATGAGGAGGAAGTTTTTCACACACAGGGTGGTGAGGCACTGGCACAGGTTGCCCAAGGAGGCTGTGGATGCCCCATCCCTGCAGGCATTCAAGGCCAGGCTGGATGTGGCTCTGGGCAGCCTGGGCTGCTGGTTGGTGACCTGCACACAGCAGGGGTTGGAACTGGATGAGCACTGTGGGCCTTTTCAACCCAGGCCATTCTAGGATTCTATGATACTGTGAAATCAGCTCCAAAGATGCCAAGCTGTAAATATTTCTGAGTTCCCAGTGTGTCTTGATGAACGCCTGTATTGCAGGTACAGCACTGGCAGCCTGACACCAGTGAGTTGCTACCTGAACAGATGAAGCTCTGGGGAGACCTGCAAGGAGAGCACTGTGCTGCTGGGGGAGGAGGAGATGCACTATTCTAGGGTTTGGCACAGGGGCTGCAGCTGTTTCCAAACTTACCTCAAAGCTATACTCCCATTTACCAACATACTGACAGGAGGAAAAAGAAAAGAAGGAAATGAGAGTCAGTGACTCAAGGCACATTTTTTGTGAAGACCTTCATCTTCCAGGGAGTGTAAATTCCACTGCATTGTGCAGATGTCATATTTAGTGACAAACTTAAGAGTAATTATGCACGATCAAATCCTGACATCGTTATTCATGCATGAAGAAATGAAGCCTTTTTCTCTCAAACACGACTAGTATTTTTTCTTCCTTGAGACCATTTGCATTTACCGTACATCCTAAGATCTCACCATCCTACACAGCCTAAAACTTGCTTGGGTGTTGTGGGGAGACACAATGGGATCCACCAGCTCATCCCTTCCCAAGGCAAGCATTGTAAAACCATTACACAATGCGTGCTGATGGGAAGCCATCAAAAGCTGAGAAAGTCCACCTTGGCACATGCCATTGACAGAGCTGATTTATACAGCTCCCTTGCAGTGAAATAGGCAGCTTGAAAATGGGCCAGGAATCCTAATGGGCTGTTAAGGAGTAGGAAATGAAAGCATTACCAATCAATAACAGAAGGCAATGGATTAGAAGGAAAAAAAAAATCGAACAAAATGAATTTCCTGCCAAGATGTAAATGCATTCACACACAAAAAAACCCCTTGGTTTAAAAATGCTGCAAACTGCTGTGGCTTGAACTGCCCAGAGGCAGTCTGCATTGGAAACAGAAAGAGCTGCCTGGGCTGCTTGAGCTGTCTCATAGGGCTCCCACACCAGGTTTCTTCACCATGAGATCCCATAAAGCCCCATTCCATCCACCAATTCCTGGTGCACACTACTTTCTGATGGATTAAGCTCATGGAAAACCAGCAGGCAGGAAGCAGTGGCAGAATGCAGGTCCAGCAGTGCTGCCCAACACGGCAGCCCAGAGCTGCAGGCAGCACGTGCTGTGCTCCAGCCATTGGAAACAGCAGAACCATGGAAAATCAACCTGAAAATTAAAAAAAAGCCCATCCACATCTTGATTGAAAGCAAGTTTGTTTCAACATGGACTTTCATTTCTTTGCAGACATTAAACAAGACGTGTTTTATTTGCAGGAGGAACCTGCAGGAGGAGGTGCACAGCCGTGCTGTGAGCCATAGAGATAGCATGGCACCGAGAGCAAGGCAAGTGCTCCACTCCTCTAACAGCAGCATCTTTGCTTCAGAAAGTAACTACATCTCTAGTTCACATTAACATGTATTAGTGATTTATGTTTCAAAAGCATTTTGCACAAATGTGGACACTTTCTGGCTTGGGAAAATGAGAGGAGGGGCATTTTAAATACCCTGCTTCAAGCTGATTCCATCCGATACCTTCACAAATACGTACGGAATGGCTGAGATTTACTTCCCTATCCCATTTCCTTGTTCATTTTTGAAAAGAATATGAATGCCAGGCACATCTATGGGAATTTTAATGCCAGGAACACCTGAGATTTATCCACAGATGAACCTGAATAATGAACACCAACGCTGTTTCATAAGAAAAGTTCACAAGCTGAGTCTGAATGTTTGCAGAGTAGAAGTGTTTTCTCATACAAATAACTCCTGCAAATAAAAAGGTGTGTGATGCAATGGACTGTTCTGTGCACAGAGCAGTCAGCAAAGCAGCAGTCTCCGAGATCCCTTATGTAAGGTCTGAGCACAAAAGGCAGAGTATTTCTTTTTTATGAGCTCCATCTAATGGCTGACGGCGTTTTTACACAGCTACAATCTTCTGCTGGGGATCTATTATGCTGAACGTAAGAAGATAGCTTGTCTCTAATGCTAAAAGTAAAGGGAAACGTAATGGGTTGGAAGAAATGCAACCTATTCAGACAGAATGCTGAAAGCAGCAGCTGCTCTGTGATGCTGGAGAGGGTTACAAATGACTGTGCTGTTATAAGGCAGTACCTTCCAAGCTCTGCAGCACTTTCCCAGCTTTGCTGCCATGGAAATAGGCCAAAGCTAAGGTGGCATTTTTAAGCCTAGAACAGCGTAACCGTGCAACTGCAACCATCAGGCACTCAGTGTCAGAACTCCACGTGGGATTCATTTGCTGCAGCTTGTGCTTGAAATATCCAAAGAAAAGCAACCAGCGTTCTGATTTTTTATCAGGAAAGACTGCTCTCTGTGCTGGCAGCAGGGAAAAAGCGTTTGGTGAGAAGCCTTGTCTTGAGCTCTGTGCACCTACTGACCAGTGCTACAATCTGCTTATGGAATAAAATGTGGGGAGATGAAAGGTCTTAAATCCCCAACATTAACTGCTGGCATGAGCACTTAACACCACCCAAACACATGCTGTGTAAGAAGAAAATCATCTTCGCTACAGAATACAATGGTTTCAATTCAGATGGGAGACTCAAAAATGAAATCAAAACCTGGCAAACACACTGGGGCTAACTGCTGTTTGCCTTCTTGGCAGCTCAGCGCTGTGGAATGGCAGGGTTGCATGGTTTTTATCAGAGGCTAGTAGAAAAAAAAGCCAATACCTTTGTGTGGACTTCACTGTGCAAAACTGACATCCATGTTTCAAAGCAAAAGCTCAGAACTAACGCTTTCAACCTGCTGTTCCCTGCTGCATTTAAAGAGAGGTACTAATTCAGCCCTAAAATACTGAGATTCTCACGTGCATTCTGTATTAATGCTGCAACTTATCTCTAAGTCACCGCATCTCTACAAACTGCTCTACTTTTAAAACCCAGGGAAAGCCACATCCCATGCCAGCAGCTAAATAAGCAGGTGACTGGCACATGGAAAATAACTAAACAGTTCAAACCCAGTCTAAAAGCTTCGAGAACCAGCAGAAACAAAGCAGTAAAACTCTAACTTAGACAAATACGTATTGTTTTCCATTTCATTTATATAAATCAAGCAGAATGCTTCTTCAATTTTCTAAAGATATCCAAGACAGCCACGTGCTGGGCTCAGTGAGCTGGCTGACTTGCTGTATACAGGGATGGTCAGCAACACGCTGCCCCAAGAGCACACAGGGGAACCCAGTACCTCAGCATCGTACTCCCAGAGCTGGTTTCCTCGCATGTGGTGGCACTTGAGCATGGTCACAGGGCCGTTGAGCCGCGACACGTCCAGGCACAGATCATCCGTGCGGATCTCCTTGTCTGCCGTGTAGGAAAACACCTGCCAAGAGAAAAGTGCCTGCAGTGACAAGGCATTGGCAAAACGCAGCAACAGACAACATTTCTGGTCTTGAAGTGAGACAGAGGAGGTTTAGGTTGGATATTAGGAGGAAGTTTTTCACACACAGAGTGGTGAGGCACTGGCACAGGTTGCCCAAGGAGGCTGTGGATGCCCCATCCCTGCAGGCATTCAAGGCCAGGCTGGATGTGGCTCTGGGCAGCCTGGGCTGCTGGTTGGCGACCTGCACACAGCAGGGGTTGGAAGGAACACAACTTTCTTCTCCCAACAACCACGTGGTATCATGGATTTCATAAGCATTTCATGCAAGGTTCTCCAATTGTGGAAGTCCATAGTACATAAGAAAAGGAACACCACGTTTAGGAAAACATATTTTATGTGCCAAAAGCCATCAGCCACTCAGCCTTACCTCTTGGGAACAACGCAGCGGAGACACAGAACAAAGACTGCAGCATAACGCAAGTGTGAGCGCCGAGCTCAGAGGCAGTCCCACAGACCTTTGGATTGCATGAGTGACACTGCGACCCCCCCATCTGGAGAACCTGAGCCTCTTTTACACCATGTTGGGAAGAAGTGTTGATCTGTCTAGGGGTCAGAAGGCCCTACAGCGGGATCTGGACAGGGTGAGACTGCGCTGAGGCCAGCCGGATGAAGTGCAACAAGACCAAGTGCTGTGTGATGCGCTTCAGCTCCAGCAACCCCATGCACTGCTACGTGGTGTTCAAGAAATGTGGCTCTGAGGGACATGGTGGGATGGGTTGGGGTTGGACTTGGGGATCCTAGAGATCTTTTTCAACCTCAATGATTCCATAATTCCTTAAATGAATTGCTCCCCTGAGTGTCTACCTTAACTGCTGGCACCAAGGATTATCCATGTTAAAGGCTGATGTGTACAAGAATTACACAACTTGCAGATCTCTTAATAAAATTAGGAAATAAATGAAGACGCAGCAGCCATCTGCCAACAAAATTCTATCAAACTAGGTATAAGCTTCAGAGGGATTCTTTAACAGAATGCTTCAAATTCAGCAATGAATTCTGAATTCAGCAATGCATTCACCCCTTGGAGACAGAAAGGAGGCGGAGGAAAATGTGGACACCATAAGAGGACGAAATGGAGGATGATGGCAGGACTGCCACTAGTTGTGTTAAACTGTAAGGCCCTGACTCACTCAAAGCATCTCAAAGCATTCCCAACCCACTGTTCAAAGCCTTGATGGTGCTGCTGGCCCCAGCACAAGGCAACGTTAGGTTAAGTAAAGGCAATACTCTGTAAAAACTTGCAAAATCTATAAATTGCATACAGCTGTCATGGGAACAGAGGCAAGTATTGGGAAGTTGAGGTTCAGATAAGTCATTTAGAGCAACCATGCAGAATGAAATAGCGTGCAAAGACAGCAGAGGAGCTGCCAGGTCCCAATCTGAGCAGTAAGACAGATATGGGAAAGTGCAGGCTGCAAGGATCAGTGGGCTCTGCATTTCTCTCACTCCTTATTCACCGCTCAGCAGCCACTCGTTTGGATGAAAATCCAGGCTCCACAGGCATGGTGAAGTACCAGCCACCACCTGTTTGCATTTATTCATCTTGTGATAAATCTCTGCAATCAAACTGAGGCTTTCCAAGTGCTGCTTTCACTTAAGAACACATCAGACACAGTTAACACTCAGATGGGCTTTTCTCAAGAGGAAAGGCACTTTTAAATACTGAGCCAGGGGTGCTCTGCTGAGGTCACACTCTGAAGCACACTGTCTTGTTGGAAAGGGGTGAGACGAGCCCACATCAAAAATCTGTTAATGTTCATATGCTGTAAGTATACATATCCCCACTTTTCTGTGCACAAAAGCACATTCTATGGCCTTTAAAAACACTGTGTAACCTCTATTTTGCAACCATTAGCCTTGCCAGTGCTTGCTGATGTGCAGAAAGCTAAGTATATGTAGGGCCCATCTCATTCTCTTACTTTTCAGAAGGATTTAGAAAGGAAAATTTATAGCTGAGGGCTAACCAAGGAAGACAGATGGGTGTCACCTCGAGAGGTTTCCCCAGAGGAGCTGCAAGTGCAGCAGATGCTCTGGACATAACCAGACCAAGAAAAAAGGCCCAATTTTCTGTTAATGCAAGGCTCAGCGACATTCGTAGCACCAAATATTGCTCACTGCAAGTAGCAGAATTTGGCTGCAGGAATCACTCATACACTCCCATGTACACACTGTACAGATAGTTTATCTCCTGCCATGCTCATTACTGAGAGATTTATCCATTACTATTTATCCTGAAGCAACTTCTACTTAAAATTTTAACTTATTTGTGTTGGTTTTCTTAGAGTAAACAAGTTTGCATCAGACATCTTCTAGGCTCAGGGACACAGCAGCTGTTTTCTGCTGTGCTTTACAGAAAGCAAATACTCAGATTTTGTAATGTATTTTCATTTGCATCTTTCCTTTTCCTCTCTTCTTTGATAACTGCAATACTCCATTATATCTTCTGAAAGAATAAGTGATGTCAGAGTTAACAATTACAGAAGATGGATTTGAAAAACACGCAGTCTTCAGGAAGAAAAATGAATGTTAATTAAGACAATGTAAAATTATCAAGCTACCATTTTACTAACGTCCATATTAATTACATACATAATCCTATTAATGTCACTGTATAAAAACAGAGGGTGAGGAACAACAGGTTGCATCTCAGAGCTAATTAAATAGCATATGCCATGCGATGTGATGCAGTGCACGACAGCAGCACTCCTCCTGCCCTCCTCCTGCCCATGGCAGGGACATGCCTACAGCATGGCCCTCCAGCCCCATGTGCCCCCAGCAGCTCCTTGGACTCATCCCCACAGTCAGGAGAACTTTTGGTCGTGATGCACAACAGACCACAGCTACAACTGTGCCTCTGTTACCTCCCCAGTTACTAACAAAATTTGTGTCCAGAATAAGCGACAGACATTGGAGTAAAATTTCCTTTTTGTTTTTTGAGATATATTGGCTTGGGAAGGCTGAGGAAGCACAGTGTTGTTGGGTATCTTTAGATGCATCAAACAGCCGAGGTGCAAACAGAACCTTGGCTGTATAAAGTCTTACCAAAACGATAACCCTTCCATCTCCTAAGTCAAATCAACAATGAGAGAGAAGTCTGGGATTACTGTGATGACCTCTGAAAGGAAAGTGGAAGATTTTGCCCTGAGGTCCTTCATCTTCTCTTATTTGTTTGTAGCAGATGTGACACTGGAGAAAGTCACTCGTGAAAAAATAGCTTTATCACAGAATCAGAATCACAGAATGGTTGGGTTGGAAGGGACCTCAAGGATCACGAAGCTCCAACCCCCTGCTACACGCAGTGCCACCAACCTCCACATTTAACACCAGACCAGGCTGCCCAGGGCCCCATCCAACCTGGCCTTGAACACCTCCAGGGACAGGGCAGAGTGTGCATACCTTAAAGCTCAAAATCTCCGTTTAGAACCTTTATTACTACATTTACCGATTGCTGCAGGTTTTTTTTGCAGCGATCCAACACGTCTGCTGCAGTGAGCCAATTCTCACCAGGTTTTCCAGATCACCATTTGGCCTGTGAGACATCTACCTCCTTACTGTCATTCCTACCTGGTTCCCTCCCATGCCATGGCAGTTGAAGATGCCCACTTTCTCGTTTTCCTTGCGGCCCATGTTGTCCAAACACTGGTTGGTGTCAACGTTCCTGATCTGAAGAAAGAAAAAGATGAAACGTGCCTTAGAACAGTATGCCTGTAATGTCATGTTTGTGCAGAGAAAAATTACACCATGTATTTTCTCCTGCAGCCTACAGCTATCTATGCATTCAGCTACAGCAATGTGTTTTAACTTGCAATTTGCAAATGTCACACTCCCTAGAGCATTCCCATCACCACAGAAACACCAATACTTTTCAGCAGATGTTCCCTCAGAACCCACTCTATGCAGAGCAGACAAATGCATTGACCACTTCTGCTGACTCAAACCATCCCTCTGCCATCTTTGCACAACACAGCTGTGCTACCCAGCATTACAGACACGCTGTCAGCAGTACAATGCACTACAAGACCACTTCCAGTGGTGCTCAGCTCATGCATCTGTCAGAAAAGACCACCAGACCCAGAAGCAATGTGGAGCACCTGAGTGACAGCAAGGTGTTGCTCCTCCAAATGCTTCTGGGCTGCATTGAACCCACAGAACAGCAGAGCACAGCACAGGGATGAGCAGCAAGCTGGGGTGAGCTCTGGGAATATTTCCAGCCCTGACCACAGGGAAATGGGAACGTGGCCTAAGCACCATTTTTATTCAGAGAAAAATGCTTGTTTCACGTCCTTCTGTGATTTTCCCCAACTCATTATCATGAAAAGCTCCATTCAAGCCTTTTTGTCTCACATCACCTTTTTGCAGAATAGAGTTGCAAGTGTTTCTAAGAGAAAGGCAGTCCCTGGGTTCCTTCAATCAGAGGACTAAAATGAAAAGTGACTCCAAAGCTCATCTGCGATGTTTATGTCTCAGCTTTACAAAACAATCCTTGCCTTGCCTTTGCTTTGTATTCAAATGATCAAAATGCAAAAAGGAATATTCAGCATTCACCACACTGCCAACAGCTTATGCACTTTCTGACGCCTGTTTCTGTTTACCCAGGAAATAATCCAATGCAGCATCCACCTATCAGTTCTATTCTAACTGAAGGAAAAAATCAGCTGCAAATAAAATCCCAGTGACTGCCAGGACCTGCCTGTGAAGGCCCAGCTCTGGTGCTCTCCCACCTGCCCGCTGCTGCTGCTGGTGGAACTCAGGCTTCAGGCACAGTCAGCAGCCGTGACACTCAGGCACAGGTTCTAATTCATAGGTACCAAATTCCTGTTTCCCTAGAAATTGAGGCACTGTTGTTAAAAATGAGGTGTTTTAATAACTATTGTATGACTTCCTCGTACTTTTATTTTCTGGTCTGACAATATCGCACAAAACACCCTCATTTGACACTTGTTAGATGAGTTCTTTGCTTGCTGTAAAACCATGTTACACTTTATTCAGTCGTAGTTAAACCTGAAGCCCTACAGTGGCTTTTATTTTCCACTCCAATGGCAAGTTTCAATAGCAAATTGCTTTCCCAGCTGCAATAAAGCCATTTGCGCCTTTGATTGCTATTCCAACAGTACCTTTAAATCAAAGCATTCAAGAGCTTTCCAAAGTCAGCTGAGATACAACTCAATAGAAGCCTTTTAACAGCAAATTATCTGAGTTTTAAAGAGCCTTCCACACTCAGTGGTACTTGAACCACAGGGTTATGAGGGATGGTGGTGACACAGTGCTGGGCAGCAGGCTGACTACACTGTGGAGCACAGTTCATTAGAAACAGGGGCAGAGGGAGAAACGAAAACAACCCTACTGTGCTCCACATGATAAACAATGCTGCAGAGTTTTTTTTTCAAATGCTGTGTATTATTGAATCATTTTCACACATCAGTCACAAACCCCCCCTTTTTTTTCGACGCGGGGCTCCGTTTCAAAGACAAATCCCTAATGGTGAATGCTTTCTCAACAGCAACAGCCACGTTAAAAAGGCTTAGTGCAAATATCACCCGCTCAAAGCAAGAGGGAAAGACGTGAGGATGGAGTGAGGCAAGGAAGTGCAGCGTACCTCTCCCAGTGAGTAGTAGCGCCGCGGGATCTGCGAGTCGGGGTAGATGTTCTCCAGGTACCACGAGAAGGGTTTGCACTTCAGGGCTTCCCTCAGCGCTTTCCTGGCCGACACATCGCCGTAATCCACCTTCACAACACCTGAAATCGTTTCATTAAGAGAAACAGAGGGTCAAAGAGCAGTTGTCACAAAGGAAGACATCACCAACTGGCCAATTCCCTCCCACCCGAGCCCAGCTGCTGACACTGCTACACCACAGCTATCTACCAACACTAAGTGACTCCTTCAGCAAAATGGAACCCTTGATATAAGTGCCTTTTCTTCTTTTCTGATGATTTACCAGTTCAGATAGGTGGGGCCACTGAATTCCTCCATTACTTCATACCTTCAAACGTTCATTTAAAAATTGAGTACCAAAGTCCAATTGCACAGAATCCAAGGATTTCTGACTGAATAACGATGAATCCCAGTTCCCTCTTTGAAAAAGGTGATGTAGCAGTAAGTTACCGTGATACTGGCAGAAAGGAAACCACCTCCATCGCACAGCACTGAATGGGAAATGGGCCATAAATAGAAAATACGGATCACAACGGGAAAAAATGCAGATGAAAATTCAATGAGAGAGGAAATCAGCCAGAAATCCCTCCGGGACAGAAGAAGAGATGATGCTCTGAAGCCAAGAGCTTGGCATGTCACACATTTGTGTGCTGACCTATCTAGCTGTGGAGCCCCTGCTCAGTGCAGGGCAGCTGACTACATGACCTTCACAGCTCCCTTCCAACTTTTGAACTTATTACATAGGTGAACCCCCAAGGACGCCCCATCCTAACACACAAGGTGATATCCATTCCTAATGAAATCCAGCACTGGGAAACTACTCATTCCTACTGCCAAAAATTGAACCCTTATCCATGCTCCCAAATACCTACCAGCTGTCTTTGACAAATTGGTTCTATGTACCATCATGCAATTGTAGGATGCAACGTAACTCTAAATAATTAACTAAAATATGGGATACCCAACCAATTAGTGCCACTGGTTAAATCAGCACTGGTTGATCAGCATTGTGCCACCAAAACCTGTGAAGAAATGGAATGTGTTTGCCTGGTGCCAAGAAACTCAGAGGCATTTAGGCAGGTTTAGGCACACAGGCACTGGGCCCTATGTTTAATGATGCTCAGCAGCAAGGCTTGGAGGCCTGGCTGCTCTTGGGGTGCCCACCACAGCCTTACCCTCAGACCCAGGGATCCCACAGAAGGAGCAAAGCCCCAAGCCCTGCAGCAGGAACACCAACAGGATCAGCAGAACACCTTGCAAATCAAGTCTCTTTCCTTCCTCTGTGTATTCCCACATATTGAGACTGGGTCAGCACACCTTGGATATTTTCCCCCATACAGACACAGAGGTGCATTTTCAGTCTGACTGTTTTTGAGGTGACTGGAGCCACAGAAACATTAAGGCTGGAGGAGACCTTTCAGATCCCCAACCTCACCCACCCCCCCATGCCCACATCCCTCAGTGTCACATCCCCACAGCTCTGGGACACCCCAGGGATGGTGACCCCCCACTCCCTGTGCAGCTGCCACTCACTGCCTGACTGCTCTTTGGAGAAGGAATTGCTCCTGGTACCTACCTGACCCTCCCCCAGCACAACCTAAGGCCATTCACTCTCATCCTATCACTAAATAATCAATGGGACTCAGAAGAAACAAAGAAACAAAATAACAGTTAGTGACTAATAAGCCTTCTTGCATTCCACTAAGAAAATGGAAGTGAAATGTCCTTGAATGCAAAAAAACAAGATGAAACATCACAGGAAGGCAAAGAAAGGGCTGTGTGCAAAGGCAAATGTCCCAGGGAAAAAGGCAGATGATAATAACAGAGCAGCAGATGCGCTGCCAGTGGAACAAATTGAATAGCTGCAGAATTGCATTACACCTGCATTTTTTCTAATGGGCACGTCCTGGAAATTGGTATACAAGGACACGGCTTCAGAATTGGCTAAATGTACCATTTCTGTGTAAGAAGATATTTATTCACGATGATAAAGATGAAAACTATTCACTGGAGTGTAAGATGAAGTTGCAGAGCTGGGAATGACTGCCTTTATGCAAAGATAACCCTGAGAAAACGTACTCCAAATTTGGTTTCTGCCATCATTTGCTCCTTGAGAAGTCAAAGAGGAAGGTGTCCCATGGTACACTGGTGCATTCCCAACCTGAGCAATTGTATGATTCTATGATTCAGAGGGAGAAAAGTGGGAGCAGAGCAGCACGTGGGCAGCATGGCTGACTGCTCCCAACCTGATCTAAATGTCCCCAGTGTCCCCAGACGATCAAAAAAGTCCATAAGGAGGTTTGAGGGCCACCAGGAGGGACGTCACCAATGGTCATCCAATGTTGAAGGTCACTCAATAGGTCAAGAAACCATTTATAAGGCCAGGAAATAATGGGAGCGTCCCAATATGAAGCCAAAAGAGGACCATGGTTGAGGCCAGCAGGAGGGACAAGGGACAGTGTTGAGGGACACCCAACAGCCTCTGCTTCCCAGGCTTCTGAGAGCCCCATTCCAAAGGTAACACATGATCATGCACAATTCCAAAGCCCAGGGAGCTCCACTTTACATCTCCATCAAAAGTAGATGCATTAACTGCTTAATGAGCGCGCTTCCTAATTAGCTAAAACATCAACAAAGTTGGCAGTGGGACTCCTTGGAATCCTATTTACGCCGCCACAAAAGGATGTGTAACAATAAAGCACATCTGAAGGGGTCTCACATCACTGCAGAACTGATGCAAGAGAAATGTATGCAGCATAACAGAAAATACATTTTGGAATGAAGATTCTAAGCTCTGCATGGGAAAACGTCACCATTTGGGGAAAACACATTTCAGGTGTCCACCACAAAAGATATTATTCATCAAGAGAATGAGTCAATATTGCCAAGACCTCCACAAGCACAGCCTCTTCTGTTGAAAAAGACTTTAAATTACATTTTGCCCCATAAACACACTTGCAATGTTATTTATGTGTGGATATTGTAGAGAGAAAAGCAGAGGCCTACTGAGGTTGAATCCTATATCACCAGGTTGGTCCTGACAGTAAAACAAGCAGAGGATCAGTTCTACCACAACAGTCATCTTCTATGAGTTTCATTCTGAACATCCACACGAGCCCATGAAGTAAGATGCTTTCCCAATGGAGAGCAATAACATTAGGGATGAACAAACAAGCCAGCCTCCCTCCTCCACACATTCCCACCATGTTTTATATGCCTTGGCACTTCAATATTGGGCACAATCCACACCACTGACGAGCGCATTGTTTTCTCATTCTGCTTTTATCACATGAAAGGTAATAAAGCAAAGGCTCCTTCTGCTCTTCCCCACCAGCTGAAAAGCTTGCTGAAGAGTGAAAATGTTTACCGAGAGCTCTTACTTGCAAGATTGATACAGTCATTATCAACCTAATTATATAATTACACTCGACAGGAGGATTGCACATCATCTGCTGAGTAAACACAAGCACTTATCTTGCAACCCGAAATTAAAACTTTAAGTGCTATATTTAAATCCTCAAAAATGTTTTAAACAAGGTGCCTGAAAAACAGTGGAACTCTGCATTTTAGCCTTGCTTGAGCAGCCTGGCTGGTGCAGGAGAACTGACCCCGAGCTGATGAGTGAGGCCACAGACATGTGGCTTAGTGATGCAGTGGGCATACAGAGAACCAAATGAGGATGGGCATGAGCTTTTCAGCTGACTCTGCAAAAGCAGGCTGTTCTGAGCTGTAATTATTTCCGTGCAGTGATTAGCTACAGTATTTTAATATGCACAGATTGACAAAGCTGCCTGTATTTGGAAATGCACAGACCGAGTGGAATGAGATATGCTGGAAGAGCCAGAGAAATAAGTGAATTATGCTGCTGGAAATGCCACACCAGGTAAGTGGAGCAAGCTGAGAAGGGAAGGGTGTGCAAATCCACCCAGACAGACACATAAATATTTAGGTGTCTCAGAATAATAAACTAAGATGCATATTTTGCAAATGATAAAGATGTTGGCATTAGCAAAGCACTACCTGGAGCATAATGCTGTGCTACTGGTGTACATCAATTACACTGAAAACAATGCCCAGCAGTGAAAATAACAGAAAAATGACTGCTAAATAGACTAACAGTGAGGAGCTACTATTAAGCAATTAGTTTTTTCATTAGTGGAGCCAAGGAAAGATAAGACACAGAGCATGAGTGAACTGTTGCAAAGGAAAGCACAGCAGTGGGACAGAGTGGGACATACTTTGCCCCAAGGGGATGAGGTCGACCATCCCAATTTTGGGTACTCTGCATTGCAAAGGAGCTTGGAAAGAGGTTTTCTTTGCATTTGGAACACTGCAAGGACCTACTGACTTACCACAAGTGAAACATGCCTAAGAGCACCACTAACATCAATGTGGGCCATACACACAGAGCAGCTCTGCTGTTTTCAGAATGACTTAATGTATTTTTTTCTTCTCTAAGAAAGGGATTTCCTTTAATCCCATTTGAAGCGTGCCCAGTGTTTCTGACATTCTCTAGACTCTCCTGAGTTACTGGGCAGGGTAAAATTCAAAGCTCCTTGTCAAACACTGCATTGCATTGGTTTGAAGTTGAGGGAGGGCAGATGGAGGTTAGATGTCAGGGGGAAGTTCTTTGCTATGAGAGCAATGAGGTGCTGGAACAGCTGCCCAGAGAGGCTGTGATGCCCCATCCATCCCTGGAGGTGTTCAAGGCCAGGTTGGATGGGGCCCTGGGCAGCCTGGGCTGGCATTAAATATGGAGGTTGGTGGTCCTGTGTGTGGCAGGGGGGTTGGAAATTCAAGATCCTTGAGGTCCCTTCCAACCCAACCATTCTGTGATTGCCACCAAATCCAAATGGTAAGCACTCCTTACTGCAGTTACATTCTGTGACCCCACTGACAGCTACAGACCCACGCCAGCCTCACCAAACAGCTCCTTCAGGGTCCACTCAGAAACAAGGTCCGCTCAGGACAGAAAGCAAAACCAGTGCCTCAGAACCAGCAGGGAGCACAGACAGCTTCCAGCAAGCAATCCCTAACTTGATTAATGAAGACTTTCACCTCCAACTATAATTGCGAGGTGTGCGCCCTAATTATGCTGAGAGAGACTGAAGGCAATGCTGCTGTGAGCAGCCCGGGTTCCTCTCAGGACATCATCTGAGACACAGAGTGAAGCAGGGCCCAGAGGAGAGCGGGGAAGATGAGTGTTGCTGATAGATAACAGCTTCAGAGACCTAATTACTGAAATGCATCTTGCTTTGTTCTCCAACAGAATTATCTGGAGATCTGTACGTTTCACATTAACAACCTGAAGGAGATACGTGCCAGACAGAAGGATAAAAAAAAAGGAGTTCAGTGATACTAGGAACGATTTCTGACATTTTGCAATGTCCTATAAACAAATCAATTATTTCCTATGGATTTTTGTTAAGATTTTTTTGTTGCCGTTAAAATATTAACTTCTATCAATCTTTCTAGAACACGTAAGCACCTTTCTCCTTCCTTTGCTTCTGAATCCCACAGAGCACTGTAATGGCATTTTACTTGGCAGTTTACATAGCATATCCTTAAATAACTGCCCACAACAGGAATAGCACCGGGCATTGGGGCTGGAATTAAACAAACCTGGTCCTGTCAACACCACTGTTATCACTGACCTGCTTTCACTCTTCCACATTAATACAGTGTTGTAGGTTCTCCATTCAAACCTGCTGCAAATAGGCAAACATGTAGCTGTGTGCAGAAGAGAGATGATGCTCAGCAGCATTCAATTCTGCCAGTTTGTGCTCACTTTGGAAGCAAAAGGCAGCTTTCTTCACAGAAAGAGGAGTCTCAATCTAACAATACACAGAGTAAATGCATTAGTATTTTAACCTGACTTTTCTTGTTAGAAGAAACAGCCTCACTGAGAACTGGGAGTTGGACTGGATGATCCTTATGTGTGCCTTCCAAATCAGGATATTCTATGCCTCTACAAAACCTGTGAGGAAAACCAAAGGATTTTATCATGCATTGGCTCTACTTTCACACCTACAAGTGTGAATTGCCAGCAATGCAGCAAGCGCTGCCAGCAGCTGCAGTGCCCAAGTGGGATGTGTGTCCCCCAGGCACACTTAGCAGTGAGGAACACGCAGACACTGAGGTGATGACAAAGTCCAGCTCAGCAGGTGGAATGGAAGCTGAAACGCTGAGGGATTTTTTTCATTTTCTGGCTTGCTGCTTTCCATTATTTCCAATGGAGAGAGCACTTTTCGAGCCACCTCGGCACCCTACAGGCATAAAAGAAAGGGCAAAGCACTGTGCCAGCCCTGGGGAAATGCTGCTGGGGAAACTGATGGTGAAATGTCCTTCTCGGTGTGAGGAGGACAGCGGTGCCTTCTCCAACTGCCCTCTTCCCCAGGCAATGACTGCAGAAAGCAGCACTAGCAATGCACGTGTCCTGCTGGATGACAGGCTGCTGAAAAACGGTTTGTTAAAGATAGCCTTGCATTTATAGCTGTGCTTGGGAGCCTAAATTAAAATGGCCCGCGGCAAGAACTGGGCTTTTCAATGGAAGAAGGGATGTCTCTTCCCTTCCAATGCAGCTGATGAAATGCTGGCTAGGAAGCCTAGGATTGGACATCCAAGCTAAAAAATATTGCTGACAAACACTGCCTGCTGAAACCCTGGGAACTGTAAAGGTATTTTCCAAAGTGACTGCAGAAACTCTTCGCCAATGTAACAGAAAATAACCTGTTATTCCTGTCCAAGATACATGTTGTAATGGAGAAACTTCAGGACACATCTTCATCTGTGCACAGCAGATGTGGTTCAGCACAGAGCTTCACGATGGCTGCTGTCCCCAGAAATGCCAGCTATGTGTCCAGACCTTCTAACCAGGCACTTTCTCCTCAGCTGAGCAGTGAAATAAAGGCAACTTCAGACGATGAGCCAGCACTGTTCCCTGCTCCCCAACCCAGGGAGCACCCCTTGGGCACTACAGCAAAAGACTGCTTGGCCAAGCAATGCCTGCAGTGCTCCAGAGGAACCAGTAGCTGGGAGGACTGCTGCCTTCACTCACACCCCCCAGTGTGCTCTCATATCCACTTACACAACAAAATCCCAACCCAAAGAACACGTTGAGCTACTGCACTGGAGCACTGATACATCAAACCAAAGAAGCAGACCGGGAGAAGTCAGGAGCAGAGGGGATTGCTCCAGTTTTACAGATGTTGCCTAGAAATAGTTCAGCCTGCCACAGGTAGGCTCATATCAGACTTATTATTTCATGTCCTTTTTATTGTAACTGCTAACGCCCAAACCTAACCTTCTGTCCAGTGCTGAATTCCCCATTCAACTCAGAATACTGTGGTGAGAATGCATTAAAAAGTCAAGGAGGACCAGGGCAGTCCTGCTGTAATTAAATGGACTGCTGATTAGAAGACCCTAAAACCAAAGAAATGAAGGGAAGGAAAAAGAAAACACTTTTTCTTTAAAAAAAATAAACTACACAGCATGAACTCCTCTTGAAACTCAAATTCTTAAATTATTCTCCCATATGCATCATTATTCTAGTCACATTTACATGTATTTTACTAAAATCTCATTTTAAATGTACTGTATTTTAAATAGCCCTTAGTTAGGTATTTTTGGAGCTGCAGCTTAGCTAAAGGCATTAAAGAAGCAAACTCCTCATCAGCCCAGCAAAGGCTGCTGCCCTGGCAGAAGACAGAGTGCACAGTGCCAGCCCCAAAGTGGAATGAATGGGCAGCATCTGCATGTCTTGTACTCACTAGCAAATGCACACTTTGAGGGTCAACTATTAAAAAAGCATTTACAGTTCAAGAAAAATGCAACAGGAATTTGGTATTATGGGACTGCACAAAAGCTGAACTTAACAAAGGAGGTCTGCACAAAAGTACGGCTTATCTGATGGGAGAACCTCAGGACTTGAACTCTACTGCATCTTATATCGGCTTTGAGTTCACTTTTGTGCCATCACAGACATCCATTTCTCAGTGGGATTTTTTGTGTTGGCATTTTTCCCTCCTCTTACAGGAGCACAGAAACCTATTACATTCATAACAGCCAAATTTTCCATCGCACACTGTATTCCTTCACTTTCAATTGGGTAGATGTAATTATCAGTTATAAAGGGACACAGTCCTGCCTATTTCACACAGCTCACTTCCCATATTTAAGAGGATTCTGCTGGTAGTGCTGCTTTTCACTCACATTATGTGAACTCTCTGCATGCTGCTAAATCCAGAAGGAGGAACATCCACAGGGCACTTCCCTACAGTTTGTGTGAGACCCCCTGTTTTTTGGCTCAAAGCTTGCTTCCTGAGGTATTTCTTGTGATAAGACTCTAACTGATTTATTGAGGAGGCAAGTGATGGGTGCTACAGTGTGACAATCAACATCACTTTGTGGACATTTGTAAGCACCTTTCTTCAGAGCTGCTTGCCTCTGGAACAGAACACTCAGGAGTGTTTACTGGCGGAAGATCTGGCCTGTGACTAAATAGCTCCAGCCTGGTATGGGAAAACTGGGCAATGATACCATTGTGTGAAAAACAGAATGCAGGTGGGCATCCCTGCTCCCTCTTATTTGCTGGCAAGGCCTGGAAGATGGGAACAAAGGAGTTTCTACTGAGACCCCAGAGCCAGAAGCTACCACTCCAAGGAGAGCTGACTCAACCACTTTGGATTTGAGCTGTCACTCCAAAGAGAGCTGACTCAACTACTTTGGACTTGTAAATAATTTGGTACTACCACTGAAAAGTTTTGTCATCAATGGAACAATGCCCGACAACCCACCACTACTGAAGATCAATGACTGAACTACAAACCATGTTGGATCCACGGTGGTGACTATCTTCCTCTTCTACAAAGACTCCTTGCTTCTATTTCCTATCTTTTCTATCACCCTTCTCCCCTTCCCCATCTCCCTGATTAAGATTTGTAAATATACTGGTTGGACCAACATTTGAACCATTGTTTCTTAATCTCACATCAGGTATACATTTACCAAAGAATCTTCTCTCCCTCCTATAAATTGTAGCAAGACAGTGTGGCACACAAATGCCTGTTTATCCAGCTCTATGAGTGAAGACAAAATACCAGTGGCTTTAAAAAGGGCTTCCACAAAAGAAATGAGGGAATCCCCATCCCTGGGGGTGTCCCACAGCTGTGGGGATGTGGCACTGAGGGACATGGTTCAGTGGGCATGGTGGGATAGGTTGGGTTGGGAATCCTAGAGGGTTTTTCCAACCTTCGTGGTTCTGTGGTTCTAAGTATATTGGCCAGGAAAGGGTGATTCAACAAAATGTACACCCAAACCAACAAATAAATCAGCAGAACGAGTAACAGCTGCCATGGAGAAGGCTGAAATTTAGTATTAAAGTTAATACCTCTGAATTTGAAAATAAGCTCAAAGAAGAACGCATTAAACATCTGTGACTGTAGTACTCAACTCTCCACTCAAGTCATGTTAAACATCACCCCAAGGATTCAGAAACTAATTTCTTACCTGGGGATATTATATAGAAGAAGTCTTTAAACTCATCCATCCAGACCTCTGCCAGCCTCCTGTTGTTCTTGTTGATGACATGTCCTGTGCCACCAGGGAAGGTGTAAGGGGTTGCTTTACGGAAGACGTGGCCAACGTGTGAGCATGTGACAATCTCAAGGGAGCCACCACACTGCCAAACCTGAAACGAAAACATGCAGAAAAGGTTGACTGAAGCCAGCACAAAAGATGAAAAGCTTACAGCAGGAAGAACTGATAGGTTAGCAGCTACCTGCTCATTTATTTCCCCAGGTCACAATTCAACTGGGAATTTCAAACTCAAGTTTAAGGGGAACAGTAGGGACATACTATCCCTATATTCAGCACTCGTGAGGCCGCACCTCGAGTGCTGTGTCCAGTTTTGGGCCCCTCACTGCAAGAAAGATATTGAGGCCCTGGAACGTGTTCAAAGGAGGGCAACAAAGCTGGTGAGGGGTCTGGAACACAGGCCATATGAGGAGAGGCTGAGGGAGCTGGGGGTGTTCAGCCTGGAGAAGAGGAGGCTCAGGGGAGACCTCATTGCTCTCTATAACTTCCTGAAGGGAGGTTGTAGTGAGCTGGGGGTCGGCCTCTTCTCTCGTGTCATCAGTGATAGGAGCAGAGGGAATGGCTTCAAGCTACGGCAGGGGAGATTCAGGCTGGACATGAGGAAGTATTACTTTTCAGAAAGGGTGGTCAGGCACTGGAATGGACTGCCCAGGGAGGTGGTGGAGTCACCGAGCCTGGGGGTGTTCAAGGAAAGACTGGATGTTGTGTTGAGGGACACGGTTTAGTAGGAGCTATTGGGAACAGGTGAACGGTTGGACTGGGTGATCTTGAAGGTCTTTTCCAACCTTGGTGATTCTATGATTCTATAATTCCTGAGAGCAATAAAAGCACACAGACCTTAACCACAAAGTGAAAACTTGTGTGAATGGCACAACTGGTTGCGTGATCTTATTAAATACGTACAAACCACTGCCTCGGAAAGGAGTAACCCTGTACTATGTTTCCAAGCATAGGGTTTGAATGCTGACCATGTATTTGAGTTTTGAAGGAATACATAATGTTCAAAGAAACAAAGAAGAACTTTTACAATCTATCTACCCACATCTGTAGCTTTTAAAGCAGAATCGAGTCCACGACCACACTAGTGAAGGCACAGCAGACTGTGGTTCATATTGAACAAGAAGCACTGGCACCTCGAACATCACAGATATCCCCAAATCTACACCCTGAGCAAGCTTAGAGCCTTCAATACGTCTGCACCAGTATCAACAATCCTTTAATCCTGAGCTAGGCATCCTGCTGGTAAACGAGGTACCATTCTTCTGGCAGCTCAGTAGTCTTGGTGTGATGTACATCAGCTGCCGCACTCCCTGCAATCTGCTGCCTCTCTAGGTGCTGGGAAGAACTAGAAAAGGAACCAGCAGAGGTTCCAGGTCCAACTGGACAGAACGAGAGGCAGCTGACTGCAGATGTGTACAGATTCCCAAGGGATGCTTATAGGGCTACCCAACTTTCTGCTTCTGGTTGGCTGTTCTGACAGTGGTGATTTCTTGAAGCTCTCCCTACACCGGGGCTCACTGACAAGTTTTGGCACCAACAAAGGTACCGCCAGCTTGCCCAGCTTGTTACCCAGGCTCATCCCCTCTTTGCAGTGGTCTCCTGCTAAGCAGGGAGCAGGGCTAAAACTCACAATATCTCTTCCTAACAAGAAGCAGGGCTTAAGAATCGTTTGGTGTCTTAAGATCACTGGTACAGCCTTGTAATTAGAGCTCCTCGACACAGACATAACAGTTACCATAGAAACTTAATGCAGATTTTGTTTAATTAGGACTAGATCCTTTTATATGATTTCATTAGTATGCTAAGTGATGTACTCTGTTGGGATGAGCAACGACAACATCAAAATATTCTGGTGTTTAACATCTTGTGTTTTGCAGCTCAGTGACAACCAGTCAGCTCAGGTGAAACTTCAGGTCGGTGGGTGCAGCAAGAAGAGAACACTTATTAAACCCAAAATATGCACTGCTGATGTATTTACACAGCAACACAGCAGCAATCCCCCACACAGGACAGCAGTGAACACAAACAGTTTGAGGGGTATTTTAACCTCTGCCAGTGCTGTGATCAGTGCTCTCACAGCTTCACCCCAACCCTCCTTCCTGGCAGGAGGTTCCTCCCATACTAACACTTTTATATGTGTGTTCTGCACATTTTTAAGTGTATTTTTGGCTGCCCTTGTTACAAGCTGCTAGCTACTGCAGTTGTCATAGGAATGCAGATAAACCTGCACACTGCTCAGAAGGGCTTTCATTTTTTCAGCGTTACAAGAAAAAAAACCAACCAGAAAAGCCTACAACAAAACCAAGTTTCCTGAATACTCACTGCTAAAATGACTCCTTTCCCCAGGCTCAGAGTGGCTAGAGCTTGCAGGATCACATTGATTTGGCACAGACAAGCATACAACAGCATACAATTCATCACTCTTCACTGCAAGCTCCTATTTGCCAAGATAATTTATCCCATTTTAAGTATTGGCATTAATTATTTAAAACTACCTTTTGATCTCAGACTTTTGGCAGTCATTCCCATTACTGCACAAAAGGAGTGCATTAAACTCCATCCCGTTTCTGCACAGCCCACCTTTGAGATCCTTTGCCCCTTCTGTCATTTTTGTATGCTCAGGTAAAGCCACTTCCCACCCGCCCATCATAAATACAGAAGGCTAATAATGATCAATCTGTATGCAGATAAAAATAACGCATTAAAATGAGCAGAAAAAATACTCATGCAGGTTAGCTGATGGGTCGTTTTGGGTGGCTCTGCACTTGTGGTTATTGCAAGGAAATGGCTCTCCCAGGAGCCAGGCAATCTCCTTTTGTGACAGGATATGTAAAACTAAGTCCAAATGAGATAGACAGCTTCTTAGAGCTTGGATTAAAATAAAACTAAAGTTTCAGGCTGGAGAGATTTAAGGCATTTGATTTTGCTGTTTATATGTTAATGACTTTGTTTACAGCATTTTAGAAATATTTACTTCCATAAAAGATTGCTCTTTTTAGTATACACTACCTAATGTGTGTTTATGGATGGTGGCATTAGATCAAAGCTCTCTTGCATTCCCACAGGTTGAAGCTGTGCTGGAATATCCCCAGTGACTGCTGCAACCAGAAGGTTAACACTTCAGCCTGAGTACGTTAAATGAGTTGAAGTTGCTGGCTGCTGCGCAGTGGTGCATAAGGGAGAGTTAAGAAATACCTCTAATGTCAACCCACAAACCTCCACACTGAAACTGAGTCGGCATACCTTGGATATTTTCCCCCATACCTGTACAGAGGTGCATTTTCAGTCTGTCTGTGAGGAGATTGGAGCCACAGGACCATTAAGGCTGGAGGAGAGCTCTCAGATCCCCAACCCCACTCAGCCACCCCCCCATGCCCACTGCCCTCAGTGCCACATCCCCACAGCTCTGGGACACCCCCAGGGATGGTGAGCCCCACTCCTTGGGCAGCTGTGCCCTGCCTGCTCTTTGGAGAAGAGATTTCTGCTGCTACTATCCAATAGGGACCTCTCCTGGTGCAACTCGAGGCCATTGCCTCTCATCCCATCACTGGTTACCCAGGGCTTTATACATCCCAACAGCACTCAGACCACAAAAACTCACTTCCAATGTCACTGCACTCTCAAAGGTAAGACACCTACATGCATGTGACCCCTCCAGCCCTACAGAGTCACATCCTATTGTGCCCATAACAGCACAGCACCAGTCTCCCTGCCATCCAAACCAACAAACATGCTAAGCTTGCTTACCAAACCACAGCCAAACATGCTCCCATCCCTGTAATTCTGCAGCCAGAAGAAGAGCCCTCCCATACCAGCAGGCTGAACACTGGCTGCTGCTGGTCCCTTGTCCATTCTGCAAGCAGGGCACTGCACTGGGTACAAGCAGCTATACAGAAGGCTCTGGGGAGACCTCATTGTGGCTTTGAAGGGAGCATAGAAACAGGAGGGGCAATGGCTGTTTGTGAGGGTGTACAGAGATAAGACAAGGGGAACGGTTTTAAACTGAGACAGGGGAGGTTTAGGTTGGATATCAGGAGGAAGTTTTTCCACACGCAGGGTGGTGACCACAATGATCATCTAATTTCAACCTCCCTGCTAACCACCTAACCAATCTCCTTCATCGATCAAGCCCAACTGATGCACTGGGTTTCTTTAAAGAGAAAGGCTCTAGCCATATATCTCCATACCACTAGTTTAAGGTTTTTGTTGACTTTTTTTTTTTTTAATAAAAATACATATGTATATAAAGAAGTTTTGTTATGTGCATACATTAACTCTATTAAATATTTCCCATGCAGCTCAGCAGGCTGGACACCCACACATGCTCCAAGCACAGCTTGGCCTCCACTCCAATCCTACACAACCTCCCAGCTCTGCAAACATGTTTGTTCTCCTCTCTGAGTGCTTTCCCAGCCCGTAATGCTCCCTGAGCTCAGTGGGAACCCTCCTGCAGATGCAGGATGGTGCTCTGCAGCACAGTGCACACGGAGCTGCGTGGGGCAGCCGTGCCACCAGGGCTCAGTGTTTTACACTGAAATTGTGGTGCTCTTCCTCAGAACGCAGTGACATATTTCAGACTGTCTGCTGAGAGAATGCAACAGCCTCAAGCTGGTTCTGGGAAGGATTTTTTCTATGCACCAAGGAAATGAAGTGACAGCAAATTGCTGCAGGATTCCTCCAGTCGGGGTTGAATGCACATCTATTTCGGTGAACAAGGTGAGCTTCACAGGGATGCTCAGCAAAAAGGGCAGCAGCACCAACCCACAGCATCAACCCAGGAGAGGCACGTGGCTGATACCCTAAGGCTGTGCTATTCCCTGCTGCAGGGATCTCTTCTAAAAAGACAAGAAACAAACGTGCTGCCTTAAAGGCTTCTGCTGAGCATACGCTTCTACACACGCCTGCATCCCGTGTGCATCCAAGGAACACTTTGGAAGGCTGTGCACCAAGAAAGCTGAAATCGGATTTAAAACGTCAACACTCAGAGTAAGTCTGTCTACCTCTCCATTTTACTGGAAAGTGAATGATGTGTACTTAATAGAAAATGGCCTGAAGATGCTTTCAGGTTCTCAGCTGATCTCCTCTAGAAATATCTGCTTGACAGAACCCTTCAAAGCCTGCTCTGTCAATAGAAAACATTCCACCAACCAACCCTCGCTGAAAACAAGAGAGAAAAAATGGAAGAAGAATCTACCTGTGCAGTTCTGCGGGGATAGGACAGGTGTGGCAGGTTTTATTTTGCATACTTACTTCAAGTGCAAAAACTGTGATCCACCACAGGCATTAAAAGCCATTCCCAGTATCGTTCCTACAGACTATTCATTGAAGACTCAGTGTTTCAATTTTCCTTTACACCTGAAGGACAATCACTAAATGCATTTCACTCCATCAGATTCCCTCCTGTCCCAGGCAATGTACCAACCCTCTCCTGCAGGTAGTGCCATCCCATGCAGTGTAAGCATCACGGCCACAACTCACAAGTTCAAGCCAAAATATATGCTTTCAGAAACACAGACATCAGTTGTTTTTTAACCTAGACACATTCATACCTTGTTTATGTCAGTTAGCATTTGCACCATCTCGCAGAAAGCCTCACTTTTCCATACAAAGACATATTCTAATACATATATATCATCTCAGAAGTGCAAGGTCAAAATTTCCAAGCAGTTACAAAACGTTTCATGCAGTAAAAAGGACCAAATACTGTATTGAGACATCCCCAAATAGCTGCAGCATTACAATTAACCCACGACTTGCATGGCAGCTAAAACACAGCGGCCCTAACCCCAATGTAGGAACTGTTACAGCAAAAGTGTTTGTTGACAGAAAATGAAGGAAAACGGCAATTACCCTAAAAGACATTTCAAGATTCTCTCCACCCCAGATATCCATTCCTGCATCGTAAGATCCTATCTCTTCAAAGTAGTTTCTGTCAATAGAAAATAGGCCACCAGCCATAGTAGGGGTCCTAGTTGAAAACAAACAGAAAAAAAAAAAAAGGAAAAAGAAAAGAAAAGAAATACCTTTTGAAAGACACTGTGGAATTCATCGCGTGATACTACAGCACACATCTCCTCAGACATTTTGACTATCAATACATTCTACGCACAGCAACTTCAATACAAAACACCACGCGGTTCCCCCGGCTCTCTGCCATGAGTTTAGGAGCACTGCAACAGTAAAGTGGATGGAGTTTTGGCACTGCATCCAGAACAGCACTTAAATCCCATCTGAGATGCTTAGAGAAGGGAGTTCAATGCCTTAGCTTTGCCTTAGAGGGAGACTGAATGTGCGGAACATTACTGGGCGTAATCTCTCCCAACAGGATTAGGGATCCTTACAACGGGCAAATCCCATCAGCGTGCAGCTCCTCCTTTAAAGCTCCTCCTGCCCAGCTTCCCCACACCGATGCCTGCTCCAGGCTTTGCAGCACCCAATGCCTACACCAGGGCCAGCAGCAAAGCCCTGTGCTCCCACCCAGCCCTGCACACGCAGGCTGGGAGCTGCTGGGACGCGGCTGTGCTCACAGCACTGGGTGCTCACAGGGCAGCACGGCCCAGGGCATTGCTTTGAGCACTCTGTGCGGTGCTGGGAGAGGCCTCTGCGCCCTGAACCCACACACACCACCGCCACGCAGTGCTGCAGCTGTGGGGCAGCGGCTGAAGGCTGTGTGGCAGAAAAGCATCTGAGGATGCCAAGCCAACTGACCGTGAGCATGCAGGGTGCCAGGTGGCCAAGAAGGCCAACAGCATCCTGGTTGTGTCAGCAGTAGTGTGGCCAGCAGGAGGTGACTGTCCCTCTGGTGAGGCTGCACCTCGGTGCTGCGTTCAGACTTTGGGCCCCAGAAAGACATGGAGGTGTTGGAGCATGTCCAGAGAAGGGCAGCAGAACTGTGTAAGGTCTGAGCACAGTCCAACGGAGGATGCCTGAGGGAGCTGCCATGGGTGTGGAGAAGGCTCAGGGGAGACCTCACTGCTCCCTACAAACCCTGAAAGGAGGTTGGACTGCGAGGGAGGGGAGGACTCAGCCTCCCCACAGATAGCAGTGACGGGACAAGAGGATTCCACATTGCACCAGGGGAGGGTAGAGTGGGTATGAGGAAGAATTTCTTCTCCAAAGAGCAGCTGGGCACTGGTAGAGCTGCCCATGGAGGGTGGGGGGGTCACCATCCCTGAGGGAGTCCCAGAGCTGTGGGGATGTGGTACTGAAGTACATAGGCAGTGGGCATGGGTGGGCAAGGGATCCCAGAGGTCTTTTCCAATCTTAATGGTTCTGTGATTCCAGGACAAGACAGCACCAGCACCTCTGCCCATCTGAAGTGCAGCTTCCACACTTAATGTTTGGTGATACCCTTATGCAAACACTGCTATCAATCATGCTTCCAGGATTTTTTTTGCAAAACAACAAGTCAATAAGAATGGTTAACGTGCAATTCAGGAAAACTGATTTAATAGAGCTGCCTGCAGTCAGCTGCTATGTGAGCAGGAGCAGCCTGCAGCCCCAAGCTTACCAACATTTCCTATTTTCCCCATGTCCCCAGTTCAGCTCAGGCTGCCCAAGGAGGCTGTGGATGCCCCATCCCTGCAGGTATTCAAAGCCAGGCTGGATGTGACTCTGGGCAGCCTGGGCTGCTGGTTGGTGACCTGCACACAGCAGGGGAACAGTTGGAACACAGTTGAAGCACAGTTGGAACTGGATGAGCACTGTGCTCCTTTGCAACCCAGGCCATTCTATGATTCTATGGATCATTCCAGCCTGTTCCACCTGGCCCCAGCACAACCTTGCCTCAGAGCTGAGATGCTACCACTGTAAAATGAGAGAGCTGAAAGAAATTTCTGTGATTGGTTACTTAGTGTATATGTCTATGCAAAACTTATTTAAAATAAAACCAAAAGCAGAGTCAGCACTTGGTTTACTCATAGATTCAAATGCCTATCATGGATTAGAAGTCACTGTAAAAGCAAAGGAACCACTGTATGCCACAATGTTAAATAACTGAGGTGCAGCAGGCAGAGCTCGTCTTTGCTGAGTAAATTTAATGTTGCATAAACAGAACTGCAGAGCTCTCACTGAAAAACAGCTGAAACAGTAATTTGAGCAAGAAGGAGCATCTCTGCAGATTTTCTCAGTTTTGTGCTTATTAGCTCTGTTTTGCCTACTTGGAGTCTCACTAGCAATACGGTGCTATGATTAATGCTAGCCATCATTCCAACCCACTTCTCATTTTCTTTTAGAGACAGGTCTGCCTTTCCTTTCTGTGACTGTGAGCAGCAAGCAGGATTCCCATTCCCATGCTCGCCCCATTGCCTTCCCATAGGGAAGAGCACAGCAGACAGGTGTTTAAGCCCCACTCTGCTGCACCCCAATGCTCCCAGCACCAGCTCCCAGTGCTGCTCAGCCCAGCACCAGCCCACATTACTTGCCCAAGGCAACCCCCTGCAAAGACCTCAGCCCACTGCTGCCCAAAGCACTCACCTCAGCACCTACAGCACCAGCCAGAGCCTAAGAGGACAAATAAAATGAGGTCCTCAATCTTGTGTTCTTTCCTCTTCCTAACCAATTTAATTTAGATTTTTTGGAACTATATACGTATATCTGAGTATTTTTAAGTACAAGTCTCATCAGTTTTCTGTTCCAAAGCAATTAAAGGCAGATATGGCAATATCCGTAGAAAAGTGCAGTGAGAAGTGCTTTCTGGTTGGGATCCTGCAGCTGTAGGATGAGTTGGTTGCACAGTGATCTCAGCACAGTGTTGCACCACCACTCTGGCAAATCACAGAAGGAGCACTGAGCTCACCTGGAGGCACAGGATGTGTGAGTACTGCTTTGCAGTGGGGAAAGCAGAGCACACCAATGAGAGATTAACTGAGACCACTGGGTTTAGCACTCCATGAGCATTTACCACTAAACCTGAGAGACCTGCGACCGAGCTGCACTGCCCAGAGCCCTGTGCCAGTGTCCTCAGCTCTACCTGTGCAGCCACATGGATTCTGCCCCCAGGCAGCCCAATGGAACAGGAGGCTTTGCACTTCAAGTGATGTGTTTTGCAAAGCAATCAGGTGTTACTCCAGTGACAGCATAAGTGACAGCATTTAGAGAACAGGAACAAGACAAAATCTTTGAGGAACTTTAAAACAGCCATGAGCAACAGCAATGGTCCTTTCCAGCTGGTGCTGAAGCATTACAAGAAAAAAGTAAGGGGAAAAGTGCTAGGGGCTGAGGTGTGATGGTCAGCAAAGGAGTAGTATACATGGGAGCAGCCATATCAGAACCCATTCTGTCTGAGGCAGGCGTTGCTCATTGGTATGAGAGGAGAGGCACCTATGAATTCTCACTGTTCTTTTTGCTAGAAATATGACAAACAATCCAACTTTTCTAATAGATTCCATTAAGAAAGTGCTTTTACAGCCATACTGCACAATAGGGAGATGTAGGATGTCAGAGTCACTGCATTAATTAACCTTTTCCCATCAATTCCAGAGATTCCTGCAAGGACGGATATTTCAGTGGGCTGAAATACCTGATTTGTGAATTTAAGAGCTTCTTTAATTCCTTAAGCAAACAAACAAGCTGTGCTGCACATCCACTAATTAGAAAGGATCGTGTGCTTTCCCCTGAGGATAACACACGGTCTGTGCTTAACTCCCCCTTGGGATTAATGGTCCCAGTGATGGCCGAAACCCAGTGACCTCTTAGCAGTGAGCTACTCTGATCTTTCCATTAAAAATTGTATATACAGTAACATTATATACACGAAAAATACATTTTATAGAAAATAATTAAAAGAATCACAGCACGGTTGGGTTGGAAGGGACCCCTCAGCCCCAGCCCTGCCATGGGCTGGCTGCCCCCCAGCTCAGGCTGCCCAGGGCCCATCCATGGCCTGGGGCACCACGGCTCTGAGCAGTGCCATGGCCTCACTGCACTCACAGGCTGATGATGTCTAATCTGCATTATGGCATTAAACGTAAAAAGTCACAGTAGGAATTTATCATTGTTATTACGACAGGTAAGAATTTGAGTAAAATACTTTTTCTGATTACATGGCTTTTTAGTGTAATAAAACGCAGGACTGGAGTGCAATGATTACATTACACATACAAGCACATAAGTCACTGATCTTTATGTATTCTGGGCTTATTCCATTGATTGCGAAGAAAGAAAGATGAATGCACACATATTCAATCTTCATGAGATTGAAATAATGTTATAGAACGGGGAAGGCAATGCAAAAAAAATGAAGTCAGCACCTTGTTCCCAAATGGTTGGTGTGGGTTTGGCTTTGGCTTATTTTTGGCCTCTCATCTTTAGAACAGACAAGGAGCAGCATTTGCCAAAAGCCTTCTGAACTCAAATGAAATATTCGACTTTTTCCTCGTTGGATGCAGAGTTCATTTTTGTGATTCTGACACCTCAAGACTGATTTACTGCCACAATCTCTCGCGTTGCTTTTGATAAGCATTTCCAGATAGTGGCCAGCACTGAAAGCAGCCAATGGCTTATTAAATGCCATTTCCCATATGAAGACTGTTACACCTCTTCTCAGTGCTCACCAGCTGCCAGTGTTTCCAGGAGAAATCTCACTGCTGTTTTGCACCAAAAAATCTCCACTGTGTGTTCAGAAAGGGCACCTGTGCCTAAAAGCTAACAGCTTGCATCCCAGGCAGCCCAATTACACCACCTCTAGAGCCACCACCTCCCTCTCAAATACTTGTTACAGGGCTAATTAGAGGATGTGCTGTGTTGTTCATTAACTCCTGAACCTTCACTAACACCCATCTTCACCTGGAGGGCTCCCAAAACACCAGGCAAACACCAGCTACAGCCATCGAGGAAAGGATGAAAAGCTGCTTTGCTTTAATAGGAGTCAGTTACGTGTATGATTCTGGATTAACTTTATGTACTGCTTCCCTTCTGCCCATCTTTCAAAGCTTCCTGTGTCAGCACAGAAGGGCTGGAGCAAAGCCAAGGGTGTTGGAGGAGCAGCCAGCAGTGTCAGCCAGCACAGCGTGGGGCCGTGCAGCTCGTTATGACAATTAACACTGTGAACCTAACACACACTTCAGGCTTAACTGGGTAAGGAACTGGAAAGCAAAGTGGTTCCAGAGATGGTCTGATGAGAAAGAGATGTAAAACACCCAGCACTTCTCTGACCCCAGGCTTTGAAAGAATTACAGTGACAGATTTTGGCCACTGTCAGTCACAGCAGATCCGAAAAGCTTTTCTGTGCCCACCCTCTGTCTTACCTGGAAACTCTGCAAACCTTTGCTGGGAACTGCCATCCCCTGAGCTGCCTCTCTCTTAATCTGCCTGTCGCCCACAGTCAGGGGGTTTACAGCACCAGAATTCTTTCTACTTCATCATGTCTCTTTGGACAGGTTTGAAACCATTACATCCACTTATTACAACTTAAAGTTGTTTTTTTCCATTTTCTTTTTTTTTTTTTCTTTTTTTAAATTTTTCTTTCAGTTCTCATGGAGATGACAGAAGCTACTGGAGCTGAGCAAATAACCCATGGCAAGTAATGCATTCAATCTGCTTGGTTTCAACTTCATTTAGAACTGTTCTCGAGGTTTTGTTACAGACTTTGATTTCAGCAATTAGAAGGAGGTCAGGAAGGCTCAGAGGAACTCAGGATATATTCTTAGATCAGTTTTGACTGGGTATGCACTGCCATCACTGTCATTTTATAGGCAGTATGTATTTTAAGAAGTGCAGACCATAACCAAATGCTTGGATTAAATGTCCAAAATTTCGCATTTCAGAAATATGCTCTAATATTTGTTTTAAATCATGAGAACAGTAATGTCTGCAAACAAGTTCAACAAGGCTACTTGCAGATAACAAACACAGAAGGAAGCTCAATACTTAGAAAGCAAGTATTATTTTGAATTATTGAACGTTCTGAAGGAAATATTGACAGAGTTTTCTCAGCTCTGATAGTTATCTGATAGTTACATTACAGCATTAAGGACAAGGCAGATGTTGGTGCTTTCTGCCACAGCTATCTGGTGTGTATTCTCCAATACTGCAGCAAAACCTTCAGTATTATCATCTACGTACAGCAAAGCCAAACACCCCAGAACTCCATTTCCCCTCCTTACCTTACAGGCAAGGTCCTGTCCCCCTTCCTCCTGTCCATCTCCCTCTGGGGCACGGGATACCAGCGGAAGTTCAGCTTCCAGTTGAAGCCTCCATAAGTCATATCTGACCCAGCCATGTACTCAAACGTGTCATCACTGATCACGTCGATGATGGGGCACACAACAGTCCTCCTGTGAGGAAAGAAATAAAAGGCATTTGAAAACGAAACTGTTGTTTGAATCCCCCCACTGTTTTATTCTGTGGCTCCTCTGCAGGAAAGCTCTGTTCAGCAGTGCCCTGTGACAAGACATGGCATAAACCAGAACCCAGGAAGTTCCATATCAACAGGAAGAAAAACTTCTTCACCTGGATGGTGGCACAGCTGCTCAGATTGGTGAGCAGTCTCCTTCTCAGGAGATATTTGTACCCACCTGGACACTGCGTGCAGTGCAGCTGCTGTAGGGAACTCCTGTAGGGGTTGGGCTAGGGGGCTCCAGAGGTCCCTACCAGCCTCTATGGTTCTGTGGTTTAGTACGTCAGACAGAAATTGTATAGAATCCTTTACCTTCCTGCAAAATAAATCTTTAACAAAATTCTTCTTTTTCAGATCAGTGAATGTTTTTCTGCTTTTTTATTGCTTTAGCAGCACGGTGCTCGAGGGATGGCCCAGAGCCCCAGCTGATGTTGCAAGGACCTGCTGTCCCCCATCCTCCTCTCACCTGTCCTCCCGGATCCTGGCCAGCAATGGCTCCAGCCAGCCACGGGTGCACTCACAGTGTGCATCCAGGAAGGTGACCACCTGCCCCCGGGCAGCTGCTGCCCCCCGCAGCCTTGCACGGATCAGCCCTGACCGCTGCTCCATCCGGAGGATCTTCACTGGGACCTCCAGCTTCTTCACATAGTTCTCCAAGGAGGCCTTCAGAAATTCTGCCAAAGGCAGTAGAAAAAAAACCAAAACATAATAATAATAATAGAGAAACATTAATTGAAGGTGCCGACGTCCTGGTGCTGCTGCCCTGAGCTGAGGTGCCCTAGGCCATGGATGGGCTCTGGGCAACCTGAGCTGGGAAGCAGCCAGTCCACACCTGGGGCTGTGACATCCCTTCCAACCCAACCCAACCATTCCATGGTTCTATGGCCTTTAAGGTCTCTTCCAAGCCTTCTATGGCTCTGTGGCCTTTAAGGTCCCTTGCAACACAACCATTCTATGGTTTGATTATCTTTAAGGTCCCTTCCAACCCAACTGCTCTATTGTTCTGTTACAGCTAGGTTCAGCAACTCCTGAGGGCTCCAAATGCAGCTGCAGAACATGTGTGTCATGCTCTGCCCTGCCAGGGACCAACAGTGGCACAATGCAGGAAACTGACACGTGTGGAGTTGTTTTGAAGAGCAAGAGCAGAGCTATAGAGGCTCATGCTGCAACTTAGCTCTGTGCAGCCACAAAGCACACATCCATGAGTGCACATCAGGAAAACATCACAGAGATAAAAGGATCTTCAAGTCACAGTCTGTTTTCCAGTAATAAATCAGCAATCAGTATTGGGTGTAAGATGATTACACTTCTGCTCATTCATATATGGCTTAATATGACTACAGCTATTCCTGATAAATTGCACCGTTTGGGCCCTCTAGGACCAGCCTTTGGGCACAGAGAAGTAACAAGCCGCCTGTATGTTTTCTGAAGCAGGGAAAACCAGCACAGTGACTACAGTGAAGTTAGTGCTACATGGAGCAGAAGTAAAGGATGGCTTGGCTTGCACCCTCCTTCCACTGAATGGCTGCAACTGGATGTTACATTTGGCTGCACCGGGGAAAACCTCTCATCGTCCCATCCATCCCAGCTATGGGATATGATCCCATTTGGGAATGCAGCAAAAGAGAGACCGGGGAAGGGATTCTGCCTTCTGCAGTGACCAAGCACAGCACAAAGGGCTGCTAACCATTTCCTGCAGCACCCACCCCTCTCGCTGGCATCGTCCACCAGGATGATCTCGGCAAGCAGGCGGCGCGGGGAGCGGGCGACCACGCTGTGCACAGTGCGCAGCAGGGTGCTCCAGGCCTCGTTGTGGAACACGATGACCACACTGGTGTTTGGGAGCTCGTCAGGGTACACTTTGGTCTTGCACCTGCCAAAAAAAGTACAGGAGAAAGAAAAAAAAGTGAATCCAGAAGATCCTTAATGAGTTCTACGGACAGGAAGGTCAGAAGGAATCCTCATACGCGTGAATTCTTTAGGAGGAGCTCCTCCAGTAGTACATCAAACCTCTCTGTTAAGACCCAGGAAAACAAATGATCCAGGTCCCTGCAGCAAAGTCAGCTTGTCCATATGGTTTCTTTCATAAGCATCATCTACTATAACAAAACTCACTTTAATCTCTTCTTCTGAATCACTGCCATTAAAAAAGTACGTGAAATCGTGATCACAGCTTTCAAAATGCGAGGTGAGGTGATAATACAGAACACTGAACATCACTGCATTCTGCAGAACAGGCAAAAGGTTCACGAGATAGTCACTGAACACCAGATCTGACTGCAGAAAGTATGGTGTTAATAGAAACCATAGATACACAGGCATGTGTATGAACACATGTATAAATACTCGCACACACAGAGCTACATAATGGCCTTCTCATCATTTGGATGGAGACCACCATTCAGGTCTGCTGGTCACCATCCCACCTTTCTAACTTCAGCAACCTTTCTGCATCTAGACATCGTGATTTGGATTCAGAGTTCACACAGAAAAAGTTCATCACTTGTTATCAGAGTCTGTTGTGATAGAACAAGGGGAAATGGCTTCAAGTTGAAAGAGGGTAGATTTAGGTTAGATAAAAGGAAAAAGCCTTTTACAGGGAGGGTGGTGAGGCACTGGAATAGGTTGCTCAGAGATGTGGTGGATGCCCCATCCCTGGAGACTTCCAAGGTAAGGCTGGACCAGGACCTGGGCAACCTGACCCAGCTGTGCATTGCAGGGGAGCTGGACTAGGTGACCTTTACAGGTCTCTTCCAATTCTAAGGATTCTATGATTCTGTGATCATCCATGACAACAGAGGTGCCTAAAAGAGCAAAAGCTCAGCAGAACAGTGTGTCCAAAATCAGACATTCTGAACTGATTTAATTCCAAGGCACACTGAATGGGTATATACAAAGCCAGCATAAATTCTGCTTGTCCCACAATTCACAACAACCACTTGAATTATATTTAGAACAGACTCAATTTTGAAAACTGGGAGAGAGCTGCTCCATGGGACTGTTTACAAACGTCCAGACACGTGCATCAGCAGCTGAAGGCCAGGACACAAAGAGGCAGGCTAACTAACTTTGATCACAGAATCATGCAATCTCCTGAGTTGGAAGGGACCCATGAAGTGTCAAGTCCTTCTCTGGCAGCCCTGGCTCCATTCACAGCAACAGACTCTGCTGTTCATCCCCTCCTTAGCATCCCAGACACTTCCAGGCTGGGATTATCCCTTCTGGGGGAGGATTATTCAATTTCCAAATGATTTCATTCTGCTGCTTGGCTATGTATAGTTACTCAGGTACCTCAAGCGATGAACTGGGATTTGTTGATATCTGGTCCGCTCATCAGAGACCAAATTAAATCTATTCACTCTGCTTAATTTGGGTCATTTGATTTCAGTAGAAAATGTAAATGCATGTACTTTGTCTATATTATGGTATTAAATCCATATTTCAGTAGATTACTGCAGTGCTCAGCCCACCCAGAGGAGCATTTAGTCTGCTCCGGGTAGCAAACTGGGGCCCATGCTGACTTCCACCCCACAGCATGCAGTCATCAAATCTGAAAGGTGCTCTCAGAGGAGCAGTTCTACAAGAAGCTCAACTTTCCTCAGCTTTCTGGGAAGCTCTGGAAACACGCCTGCAAAAGTAAAGGGCTGGCTGTGCAAAGGGGAGGCCAAGAGCAAGGCACCACCCTAAGCAGCAACACTGTGCACAAAGATAAAATTGGGGATTGTCTACATTTGTGCTTTAGCTATCACTAATGTTTTGGTATGCTTCTTGAGCTCAAGGGATAGTTCATGTTGCATTTTGTTTTATTTCTCACAGAATATTCACAGAAACATGGAATGGTTTGGGATGGCAGTGACCTTAAAGACCATAGAACCACAGAATGGTTGGGTTGGAAGGGAGCTTGAAGTTCATGCAACTATAGAATGACTGAGTTGGAAGAGGACTTAAAGAGCACAGAACCATAGAATGGTTGGGCTGGAAGGGGCCTTAACCATCACAGAGCCATGGAATGGCTGGGCTGGAAGGAGCCCACCCTTGCTGTAGGCTGGCTGCCCCTACAAGCTCAGGCTGCCCACAGCCTCTCTCCTTGAAGTGACCTAAGGATCAAATTTTAAATGAGCAGCTGCTCTGGAGCAGACAAACTGCACAGGCACAAAGTCATTAGTGCGTGCTAATTGATGAGTGTAACAGAGGTGATTCCTGTACTGGCTGCTGGGATGACCTCAGTCCACAAGCACCGGTCCCATGGTGAGAACATTCATTGCCTGGATTCAGTAACTCCATGAGCTCGCGGACCTGTTGGCTACCTAACACTTGCAAGCTGCTCACGTATCTCCCATGGAGGCTATGTGCTACTCCCTGGATCCTATGCCAGCACTCAGCTCTGGAAGCTAAACAAGACGTCAGTACTGCTTCAGCCATGCATCATGTGTGTAATCTCCATCACAGCACCGCTCACCTGTTTGTAACCATATGGAAGATAACATCTTCCCTTCATTGCAACCACTGCACTGACACACACTGCACTTTTTCTGCTTCAGGAACACACAGCTTGCTGAAGGAGAGGTAAAGGTAAGCCATGCACTGCTCACACAGCCATCAGATCCGAGGACTGCCACTCCACCACCTCAAAAGTCCTTACAATGCACACCAGTTGTTAACAATGATCAATGTTAACTGATGCTGGCATGCTGGCAAGACTTCCCCAGAAACACTGGCTTTCCTTCTGCACTCATCAGATGTTACTTTATAAATACACATGAAGTAAATACAGCTGTTTAAATGCAGGAAAAACACATTTTCCAAGATCAGTAATATGGAAACAGTGAGACTATTTACCATCCCTCCCGTTGGCTGTGTGCAAATTGCACGAACATGAAGGGCTGTGCTGTGATTTTTCTCTTCCAGAATTATATTGAGGCTCTCAGGAAAGAAAATCAAGGCAGAAAATCATGCAGGAAGGCAAAACACTTGGAGGGAAAATGAGAACGTAACCAGTAAGTAGAATTTATTATGCAGTATTTGTGATACAGTGCATTAGGGAACATAAAGAACTGTGTTAAATAGATGTAGTTTATACAAGCTGGGGGATTTTGATGATTATTTAGTCATTACCCACTATTACCTTGCATTACTGAGAATATAAAGATGGAAACACATAGAAAAGGCTGGATGTTGGTGCAATCCTGGATGTGTTTTCTAGAAGCTGCACTTTGGAGCACCACTGGCCACCTGCAGTCAGCAGTGCTTCGTTTCTATGTAAGTGATAACATTTGTGCTCAGAGAATCCTGTTGTCTGAAACACAGTTCTCTCTTGTATACTGAATACAAGACCTGTGAGGAAATTTAAACTGCTATAAGGAAATGCATGGTACAACATTATGAGCAGGAGAAAAGCTCATTGGAGCAGCTGCATAAAACAAGAGACTTGATTTAGGCCTAATTTGTCACCTCTCCCCACTGCAAACCCTACCTCTGCCACCTGCCCCATCACTTCAGCACACACCTGTTGGAGCTCTGCTTCAATACACTCACTTGAACTGCCCCAGCTCCTGTTTTAAAACTGAAATTAATGCAAACGAACAGTAAATAGAAAATAATTGAAGAGGAATTTATTTCACTTAGAGTGCCAGCACTGCAGCCGCGCTGTCTCACTGACTTTTACTGTATCAATAAGTCCCAGTGCCAATCAATTTTCACAGCCAGCAGATGAAGGATGTGAAGATGCATGAAAATTGTTTTCCGGTGTTTCATTACAGAGTGCAAGCAGGTTTGCACTTGGTAGGAGCAACCCTTCACTCATCCCTCCAGCTATCAGTGCTCATAAAGCTCCAGGTATAGCCCTGAATATCAAATATTCCTCTGGGATTTTCCACCCAAACTCTGCTTTGAGATCTTAAAAATCACTTCCCAAGTTGTTTACTGAATGCTCATAGTTATTTTCATGTTGAGGAAGGCCACAATTACACAACACAGCATTATTAAAAGCAAAGAACCCGCAGTCAATACTGCAGATCCGCCATCCTGAGCCTTCCAGCAGACAGCTCAGGGGATTTTCACCTTAACTCCAAGTGGAAGCATCAATACCCCCACAAACCTGAACACAGCAGCAGTTGTTGTCTGGCATGCAGCTTAATTCAGGACAAACCTGTAACGGAGCTCACAACTCTTCAGATAAGGCTTTCCTGGACAGCTTTTCATCATTAGTTTTGCTCCATTTCCAGCACTGCTTTTTATGATAGCATTGCTGAATCTTCTCCATTTTACAATACCAGGCTAACCTCAACCTTCCATTACTTTTCGATGTATCCTTCAAAGTATTTTAGCAAGTATTAACTCTGTATCCCCAAATCTCTTGCTCACACCTGCAGTACAGGAAACAAGACACCACTGTGTCCATCCCAAAAGGTCTGGTAGAGCAGACATACCCTGATGCTAATGCTCTTTATAAGGCTCTCCTGGAGCTCTCACTAACAAAGGGAACTCTCTCTGCATGCCATCAAAGCACAGGAGTCAGTGGGGTGGGACAGCAACCCACAGAAACATGGCTGAGCATCACACCTGCCCTTACCAGATGGGCACAGCCCCACTGCAGCCAGATGCTCGTTGGGATGCAGCTGCAGCTTCTGCCACCTGCCCAGGGCAGACCCTTGAGTTCTGGCTGCAGTTAGTATGGGATTTATGCTGCTCTAGTCCTACAGCAACCCCTTTTCTGGACATAACTGACAGCACCATAAGCAGTGTTGCTCCATCATGAAGCAGTTATTAAGGAAGCATATATAAAGAAGCCAGGACAACCACCCCCACACAGCCAAGAGGTGGCACAGCCCTGCTCTTGGCCACCAGCAAGCACCAAAACCTGGCCAGCACTTAGCCAAGCTCAGGGTACCTTCCCTTCTCTCCAGCAGCACTTCTGCCCTTTTGGTACAGAGAAGTTTCCCCCATTTCCAGAGGAACAACAGCAAGCCACTTGGATTTAACCCTGCAGTACAAACACAGCCTTGCTGAGCACTCACACTTTCTCCTTCTCCTCCTGCACGTGGTTGTTTTGCTGCTGGTGCCTGACCCGAATTGCCTCCCCTTGTGCCTGTGTTCTGTCACACAGAGCAGGCTCTGTTTGGCACACATGTAACATCCTTGTCTCTGCACTGCTCACTCCGTGCCAAGACCACAAACAACTGACTGTCACTGTGATAAAGTAATTGGAGGAGCAGCATTTCCCACTAAGCAATAACAATGCAAAGCCAAACAAAGCAAAGCTCTGGTCTTACATGGCTCTAGGAGCAACCCAAAGTCCACCTGTGAGAAGTGCTCACAGCCTGAGCACACCTGGCAGAGCTCAGAGGTCCCCCTGCATCCCTCATTCCCTATGAGCGCTATGGCACCGTAGCATCTTTAAATTCAGCAGCAATCCCATACATAAGGACCTCAAAGAGGCCAGAGCTGCTTTGGAAGCGTGGGGGGCCGTGAGCTCAGCAATTTGGAAGAAGCTGATGGGACTGCAGGGGCTGTAGGCACCTCCTGAGGCACTGCTGCTAATCTGACACCAGGAATTGCCTTCCATGTTGTGCAGATTACCCATGGGCACCTTTCCTCCCTGCAGGCAGTCACCCCAGGTAATTCTCCCTCCACATACACAAGGCAAAAGAATTCCTAATGCGTCATTCACATTTTCTAGCTGAAAGCACTGATTAATTTCTCTCTGACCTTCCTTGTTTAAGGATGGTTTAGAATTTCTCTATGCATGACTTTATAAGCACAGTAAAATATTTAAAAACAAGTTAGCTGTTACTGATAGGAAGCTGCAAGCAGGTAAAACCTGAACACACTTCAGTGACCACTTTGAGCTGGAAGAAGAAATAAGGCAACGCTTCATGGCATGAGACAAATGGACTAGATGAGACCATCAGAAATCAAAATAATTGGCTCTCCCTTCTCAGGGCTGAACTGGATGCTCCCTGCCCAGGCACAGGGCTGGAAGCACTGAAGGACTTCAGGCAGCGTTGGCTGCTCCTTCTTTGTCCTGAGTCCCTTCCCTGCTCTGAGCACACAGAGCCATACAACAGCCAAGGCTCTGGACTTGAAGAATGCAGCACAAAACCATAGCACTGCACTCAAGCCAGACTTACAATTAAGAAAAAGCTGAAGCTAAGCAAGATGACAGTGAAAGCACTGCTTCTGCTTCTCATGTTTGTACCAAGCTCTTTCTAAGAGGCCTCCTAGACATGCAATGACCACGTCTAGACCATGTTGGGACAAACCCACCACCAAGTGACCACCAGATCTGCATTGTAGTAAGTGCCAGAGCAGCAGCTGAGCACCTTCAGTCCTTGAGAAGTGTCCTTACTGCTTATTATGACTACTGCCTCAGATTTAATAACGGATTCTCTTACCTTCATCTGAAGTGGCACTGTTGGGCTAAGTCCCTTCATATTCCCAGGTATCCGTAAGTCGCAGGCAACAAGGCCAGCCAGATCCGAGCACGGCTGTCAAGGATGACCCCCCAGAAGGGCTTCTGACAGCATAAAGATTACTCGTGCAGGTATCTGACAGCTCACAGCCCTGCCCAGTCTGCTGGATTCTATGCAGCACCTCTGACACTGTTGTTACTGATAACGGGCACAAATTCTGCAGGACTGCTGCTTTTACAAAAGGTTCTCCAAAGCAGAAAAATAAAAGCCTTTTTGTTATGTGAGCTGTTTCTGATTAGAATATGCACGCTTGTAAGCAGAGACACAGCACAACAGCTGACTTCAACCTAAATTTCCATGATAAGGAAATCTGATTATAAAGGCTTAACAATTTGCAGAATAGCACTGGCAACTCATTCTTTCAGAAAAGACTGAAGATAGATTTCCCTACACTGGGGAATATGTTTAGAAACAAAATTACACATTTCTACATTTAATTCGACTGCTCATAATTAGGCATTGATTAACACCTTCAGGCTGGCCATTACCAGCACAACTCAGGCTGTGGGCTGAGATTCCTTGGCATAGTGGGAAGCAAGAGACACAGCCTGAGTGCTGCTGAGCTCATCAGCACCAGGCAGCAGGGCAAGTCCTGCCAGAAAACTCCCTGGCTCTGAAAGAAACATACAAGAACACACAAGGCTCAGCCACCCACATACTGCAGCACACCTCCAACCCCTGGCAATACAGCAGGTGCTGCTGTTGCATACTGAATGCATTAGCCATAAAACTCATAGAGTCATAGGGTTGCAAAGGAGCACAATGCTCATCCAGTTCCAACCCCCTGCTATGTGCAGGGTCACCAACCAGGCTGCCCAGAGCCACATCCAGCCTGGCCTTGAAAAACTGTATTCTTCCCTAAGAGCAAAGCATTATAAATAAGCATTTGGAACAGTTTAATCCTCCTTAAAGACAGGATGTGTAATTGTAATGAAAGAATTTCAGAAGAGAACAACAAAAAGATGCTTTTTTTTTTGAAATCCCAAAATACTTTGTCTTTTCAATGCAGATAGAGTGTGAAAGCTTTTCTCATAAAAGAAATGCACACAGGCACATTTGTCTCAGCATTACACATCTCATCTCCCTTAGACCAAGCACAGCCATTCACTGAGATGAACACTTTACCTATTTGCTCATTATTCCTTCTCTTTTCAACTATCACTCACAGGGGGAGGACACAGCTTTTGAAGCCCACCAAGCAGTCCTTTCTTGGTTCCTTCCTGCACAGGGAAGCGCAGGCAACAAGGAGCAAAGCAGCAATAAGTAGTAAAGCTTTCCTGGTGCTTTTGCTGCACAAAGTTGCATCTCTGCTGGCAATAATGTTAGGTGCTGTTCTATTCAAAATGAGCATCACCAGATTACAAATGGTCATGCACTGGAGAAGCACCGCTCATGTTGCTTGTGAACTAGGCATGGTTTTTAAGGAACAATTATGCTATTTGCAGACACAAATAAAATGGGTGGGAGGGAGGTAGTATTTGTTTGATTTAAAATTCCATAGGGACCTGTAGAATTTAATTGGAAAGAAATCACAATAAGCAAGATTTCAGCTAAGTGACAAATCTGCTTAAAAAGTAGAAGGAATGGAAAATTTTAGAGTATCTGGCAACTTGCCTACATTTAGATCAGCTCATATTTTTCTACATTTGCATTTCTTGCAAGGTGCAGCAACTATAATGCTAGGATACAAAATCATCCTTGGGGCCCTGGGCAGCCTGGTTTGGTATTAAATGTGGAGGCTGGTGGCCCTGCCTGTGGCAGGGGCATTGGAGCTTCACGATCCTTGAGGTCCCTTCCAACCCAATCCATTCTGTGATTCTATAACCCCTAAAGAGCTGTGCAAAAACAGGAAACATGGGGTTTTTCTGATCTATAGCTCTGCCTTCCAGTTCTCCTAAATCTGCCCACGCTCAGGTGCATCAACCCATTGCTGAGCCCAACCTAAGGAACTCTGAGAGCAGGCAGAACCTCAGTGGCACTGCAGAGCTGGGAGATGGACAGCAGGGCAGCACAGTCAGTGCCACCCAGCTGCCAGCACAGGTGCCTGAGGACAGATCAGTTATTCACTGCCTTGTTCACCTGCTCAGAGAGCAGCTGCTGTGTAGAACCTCTAATCTTTCTGTTCCCATCACGCTGAAAACACATCAGTGCCTTTAGCAGCTGGGTTTCTGCGTCTTGCTGTTAGCATGTCTAGTCAAAAGAAGGCATGGTATGGATGTCAGCAATTCAGCAACAGGCATCAGTATTCAGTGCCACAGCCTGTAACTGCACCAAACCACTCTGGTTTAAGTAGCTGTGCAACCAGGCAGGGCAGAAGTGCCAAAAATGGGAGTTATGTGGAGAGGTCACCTCTGAGCATCCTTCCATGAATGGCAGATGCCCAGAAGGTGGGGAGCCAGCAGCAGTCACAAACAGGCTATCAGAAGTTATCAGATTTAAATGAATAAGCAGACTTTAAAGTCTTCCCATTTAAACAAGTGCAAAGTGTTCTGAAAAAGATTCTTTAAAATGTGATTATCCCAGAAAAGCCTACAGGCAGAACTAATAGGAAGTCACACTGTGCAGGACAACTTCAGGCACTGGTAGTGTTGTCTTCTTGTCAGAATTAACATGTCAACTTTTCAGTGCCAATGGCTTAATTACAAAAAGCTACAAAATCAACAACAGTGGGATTTTTTTTTAATCACTTTAACAGCTTAAAGTTTTCCAGGAGAAAAAAAAGTAATAAAAAAAGTATTGCAGGTGACATGACAAACCAGACAGCATTTTGTTACGTGCCACAGTGAAAGTTGACAATTTTCATAGTTCACAAAATAAACTGCACATCTGTGAAGCAGTAACTCTTTGCCTCAGTGTGTGTTACAAGAAGCCAAACCTAGAGCTGGTAAGCCCCAGATAAGCAGGCTGCACCCAGAGCCCAGCAATGCACCCAGAGCCCAAGGAGGATTTGCCTGCAGCCAGCCCACAGCCCCTGCAGCAGAGCCCCGAGCAGCACTCACCCATCCAGCCTCACATCTGGCAAGCTTCTGTTCAGAGCAATCAGGTCACTGGCCATAAGGTTAAACTGGTTGATTTTAAACAGCTCTTTCATCTTCTCCTGGTCGTCTTTTGGAATGAGCACCGCCTTCCCCATCTCACCGGGTCCTTCTTGGTTTCTGGAAATGACAGCTGCAACACAAGACAGCAAGAGGGCAACTTTGAACACTGGGGTGTCTTTGAGCATTTGCAGCTTTCAGCTGGAATCACAGTGACAGTGCATGAATGCTCCTGAGAGACTCGCATAAGGATTAAAACCCAGCACCAGGTTCTCAGGGAGATCCTGCAAGCCAAGGTCTGGGCAACATTTGTATAGCTGTTGAAAGAATTTGAACAGCACGTGAATTAAATCGCTCTGACCTATTTCTTTTGTTGTTAATTTATTCCCAACTGAATGGCACATGGCATTATAAACCTATCCTTTAAAAAACAGACACCCCTTCAACCCTGCAAAAGGCAGTCATCCTCAGAAACACAGTCTAGACACACTTGCTAGAAGAGTATCAGAAATTTACCCAGGAGGTTTCTGCCTGCAGTTGTACTGTAAGCTTCATTGTGCAGCAAACATTTTCCCAGTGATATATTTCTATGACTTGCTCTGCTCAGAAGCACTGCTGGATGCTGCACTCACAGTGCACTGCTTTCACTATGACTGCGTGTGATTTCCAGTTGCATGCTGTCCACACAACAAAATTCCCCTTGGAGCGTTTCATAAGGGATATTTATGCAATGCATAATGCAGACATAAAGCACTTGGAAGTAACGGTTGGTAATTAAACTCTGCTCTGCCATCACTTTTTGGAGGAAGGACGACACTTTGCACACTGGAATTTGAAAGAGATGGTCCTTCCAGCTGCTAATTCTGGCTATGGAAGCCAATTCTGCCTCTTCTTTCCTCTGCTGGAAAGACTGAGGGCTGCATCCTTCCCCTGGCAGTTCTGCAGGAGCAGCTCTCTGCTTCCCAAGGGCCTGTGCCCAATGAGAGCCCAGCAGGGAGCAAGCAGCCATGCTGAGACACTGCTGAGGTAGTAAGACAGCAAGAAATGGGCTCGTTTTGGATGCTGAAGTACTCTGGGTTTGGCTGAAAATATCTTAGTGACAGTTTTCTGCTGTAGAAATCAGAAGCTTTCCATTAAAGCAAATAGGCATGAGAAAAAAATCTGTCAGTGTATTATTAGAACAGTCATCATTATGACAGGAAGTTTGCTGCCTCTCAGAGCAAACCATCTAACAGAAGTGCATCTCCTGAAATTGTTTAGGGTACCATCCAAACACCACAAGGATGCTGTGCTGCAGTAGGATGCTGTGCTGTGCTGCTGCAGGAATCACTGCCTGCTCACCAATATGGCAGTGCCCCATAACAGTGCCTCACACTCATCTCAGCCTGAAAACTTCCAGTAACTCTCCCTGAAGGCAGCAGTTATTTGTACACTCTGCAGTAAAACTGAGTTTTCAGTAGGGGATTCCATGTGCTTCTGCTGCTTGCTAAGGTTCATCGAGACAAAGCTCAGGACAGCAGAAGCTCTGTGAAGCTTCACAACAAAACTAATTGGGAATTTCTGATCAGCCTTCCCACTCTCACGGCTTTACTCAAAGCCAAGTGATACCTGACTACATTTCAATCAGAGTACATGCAACGCTGTGACCAAGAAATATGTTTAATTTTGCTAATTGCAGCAACATCAGCTTGCCAAGCCTGCAGAGAAGACACACACAGCTTGCAGGCTACGTCACCCAAGCTTTCAAAAGGCACGAAGTCACAACAGTGCTGCAAGGAAGGCCACAGTGCCATGGAATAGGAATGCTAACATCGAAGAGGGAAACTGTGATGCCTTCATTAGAAGCTTCTTTTTTGCCTTGTGAAAGGTGAGTCACTCCTCATCAGCCTCCTTCCTGCTGCTGGTGTGTTTGTGCAGCATCATGCTAAACCATGTTTTACAAGGAGGCTGGGGATGCCCCATCCCTGCAGGCATTCAAGGCCAGGCTGGATGTGGCTCTGGGCAGCCTGGGCTGCTGGTTGGTGACCTGCACACAGCAGGGGGTTGGAACTGGATGAGCACTGTGCTGCTTTGCAACACAGGCCATTCTATGATCTTCAGGGATAAATACAGAGGAGGATGGCTGAATCTATGTGCTGCTATGTTAACCCACTGACAGCTGCCAGGTGTGAGCACTCCCCATACCTTCCTTTCTGCAAAGACTGCAATGAGCTCTGTCCTTCCACACCAACAATTCAATTCTATCAAAGCCTTACAAAAGCAGAGATCTGTCCTCCTCCTCTCTGGAAGTCATGGTGGTTAATGAAAATGGAGTCTTCTTGCTACTGTTTACAAGCAGGATGGAAAAAAAAATGACAAAAACAGATCTCAGAAGGTCACCAAAGCTTCCCCCAGACCACACAGAGTTAACTGGACTTAAGACACTCACAGCACAAATTCAGTATCTACCTTCATGGATATTTTACAGCCTTTCAAGAAATCCAAGCAATACAGTAAATGGATTATACTCTTGCCTTGACCCAGCTGAGGAAACAGAATTTTCAGGAGCTAAAGACATAAAAACTGGAGGACGGGGGCTCTTTAGGAATACTGTCACACCCGTGTGGTTTCAACAAGGAGCTGTATATACAGACCAGCACTCAGGAAGGCATCCACTTGTGTCTCGCCATGGTTTAGCTCATTCTGTTTAAAGGCTGCAAGCGAGGAGCAGTGATTCAGCACTTCTGTTTGTTAACTCACTGAAGCAGATTTCAGAGGTTGTGCTTTTCAATAAAAAGTGCTTTAAAAAAAAACAAAGTGTCCATCAAAAACAGCTTCATCTCCGAGCACAAGAATTAACGCTCATCTCCTCAGTGACCATCTTGGTGCATGCAGGCATAATGGAACTGACACGAAGCATGCCCACAAAGAATAAAAATGCTATTTATCCAGCATTCTGCCTGCAGACATTTGACATCATCTGTCAGAGGAAACAGGCCTGCTTTGGAAATGCATACAGCCTCCTCACAAGGGCTTACCAGAAGCACTGAGGTCTTTGGTGGAGCACAGAATACCAAGTGCAAAATTCAAGATAAGGAAAGGAAAAGTAAAGCTGACCTCAATAGATCTGAAAGCATTCAATTTACTTAAAGATTCAGTAAGGGCTCTGCACATGGACTGCTGCTCAGATATGTTGACACATGGGGGATATAAGGACTCATCACCCATGCATTCTCTCCAAAGGCTTCTTTTCCTTGCACATACCTTGGCTTAAAGCCCCTGTACCTCCACAGCAGCGCTGTGGAAAGATGCTGGTTTGCAGATGGACAGGCAGCAGGGTCCCTGTACACCCACCCCTGTCCAATCTGCCTTTCCCAGCACAGCCCTGGGCAGCCCTATCTGGTGGGGCACATCGAGCCCACAGCAGGGGGCTGTGGGGGCTGTAAAGTCTCTTACAACCCAAACTATTCCATCATCCCATGATTCTTCGTATATTATTGATCAGTTGAAATCACTAAGGAGAAAGCTGGAAATAACACTGATGCCCAGCACAGCTATGATACAGCAGCAGTCAGATGGCTTCAAAACAAGCAGAGTGCTGCAGGGAGGGACTTCAGCCCAAATCTCCATTCTGCAGCTGCCAGAAATGTGCAGTTTGAATAGAAAACCTCCCAGCTTTGTGAGAAATCAATGGAATGCTGGCGTTATAGTTTGGAAAGTCAAAAATAACTAGGTGAGGATAAAATCAATCTTAGGATAGCGATAGGGAAGAAAGTAGCTTAAGGGGTGTAAGCCACACACAGCTGCCATCTGCCCAATTTCTGTGTTCACAGATATCTCAGAAACATAATGGGTAGAAGATAAGATGTGAACGGCTCACTGGTAAGAACACCCCAGTAAATGACAGTGTGTCTCTACTCATGCTGAAAATGTTGAGAGAACATGACTTAAGTTCGTTTTTCAGAGCAGAAAGGCTGAGGTTGGCAGGGACCATCTGGTCCTGCCTTGCTCCACTGAGTAGGGCCACTCAGATCCAGGTGCCCAGGACCACATCCAGGTAGCTGCTGGAGATGCCCGAGGGAGACAGCTTTGATTGGAACTGCAATTAGAAGAATTAATAAATAAAGAAAACATCAATAAAACCAGTGGTAACTGAAGTGTGATCTGAGAGACAGGCAGAGCTGCCTGCCCTACTGCCTCTACCAGCAAAGGCCCTTCCCAAGCAGTCCTGCATTATGTAGTTCCTCATCATATCTTACTACAAGGCATGAAATCAATCGTCCAGAATCCTGAACAAGTAATTCTTTCTTCATTGCACCTCTACAGTGGCTCTAACACTCAATGTTATTCTGCTGGTTTATGCCCAAGTAATTTGTTATGAACTCCACACAGAATCCAATAAACTAAAGGATCAATTTGCAGTTCTTTGCCATTTGGATGATATATCTTTTGCAGCTCAGACTCATCTTAATCCAAAACATATGGAATTCTAGTTTTAATTATACAGTAGTAACAAATCCCACAAAGTTGCCATAAACATCATTATATAGGTCATTTGCTTTACAATGTCTTCTAAGACAAGAGCTCCACAAATTTGAACGAAAAAAAAAGTTGCTTTCAAATAATAATAGAAGCATCAGAATTCATTGGGATTTCTGCCATAAATATTTCTTATACCATTTCCACACGTGTTGTCCAGAGACACATCAGACCACACTGCTACTGCCAGCCCCACACGAGCAGTGCAAACAAAGTGCACATCAGATTTAAGCAGCGCTCAGGAGGGACACGAGCTCTGCTTATAGCTGCTGGTTGCTGCCTTAAGAGAGCTGAAGGAAGGCATTGATGCTCCTCATGAGTCCCTAAGGAACCTGCACACATGATGCAATCTCGTAAAGTTGAAGGTCTCCACCATTACTGGCCTTGCTTACACCATGGTAACAGCTGTGATACTGATAGAAATTCAAAGCCTAATGAGATATCATCTAGAACATCTAGTTATTTCTTTCTTCTTTGCAGTTTCACACTCTGGAGAGAGAGAGAAGCAAAGCTGCATAAAGCAAGACAAGAAGTGACAATTCCTAATTTAAACAAGCTATTCAGACACTTCAAACAGGGCTGTAAGATCAAGCTCACAAGAAGCAGCAAAAGTTT